CACATTACAGAGCGATGAGAACAGTGGAGAAGGGAGGGCTGGGCATCCCCTTTGAGTGACTGTTTATCCTCCAGGCACTTGCAGGGAGAACCTGGCCCCGGTCCATGGCATCATGTTAGAACATCGCAGTTTCTGAAACCCTCCCTTTGTTCCTGAGAAACGCTGTCTCTGATTGTCTGACTTTCTTCTTTGTTCGTCCTGCACTTATCATCTCCCCCATTTTGTGAGTTCCCATCCTTGAGTCATTGGAGGTAAATCTCACGGGCAGTTTGACTTTGTTTCTCAGTTACCACGTTCAGGATGGACTTTTCAAAATTTCTTAACATGAGCGAAGACTGAAATAGAAGAGTTACAACAATTTAAAAGCTCTTTGTGTAGCAAATGGAATGTTTTGTGCATTCCAGTTTCCTTGGGTTGTTTTTAAACATGTAAAGCTATAACCAAGGTTGAAATCATTTTTTTAGAGAAGCAAAACTACATAAAAGTATCAAAATTATATAACCTCATTGCCTTGTACAATAATAGCAAGTATTTACATAACGCTCACTTTGTCAGATTATGTTCTAATCACTTAAAATATGAAATCGTTTAATTCTTACAACAATCTTCTACGTAGATATATTATCATCCCTATTTTCCAGATCAGGAGATGGAGGTACAGAGAGGTTGAGTAACTTGCCCAAAGTCACACAGCTAATAGGTGGTCGAGGAGGGTCTTGAATTGGTCTCAACTACTGCAGTGCATTGCTCTTCGCTAATGTGAGGTTTGCAGCCATTTGGATGGGAGTTGAGTTTTGATTACTCTTGTACTGTCTCTGAAATATGAATTTACCAAATATTAAAAATTAGTGGTAGCTACAAACTGTAAGATTAACTTTTTGCTAAGAAAAACTGTTTATAAAACAGCATCGATTTAAGACAAAGAGCTGGTTTTCTTATTGCAAATTGTTTCTGTATGCTCACTGAAAAAGGGGCCGAAGGACATTATTTTTGGTAATAATTTTTCACTTAATTTGCTACTAAAGTGGTTACATATGGAAGTAATGAAATCACATATCTTGAAAATCTTGAAAAGATCATTTTTTAAATGTAACCGTTGTAGCTTTTTCTTTGCATGGGTTGAAACACTGTAGCACGATTAGCCACTTTAACATCTGTAGCTGATGTTTGAAAGTACTTTTAAAGACTTATTTTCTTTCCACTATAAATCTTATTCTGCTGGTTTGAAGCCCATTATTTGCAGTGACTAGTGTTGAAATTAATAAAGGAGGAGAGGCCTTGTAAGTCTGTGTCATCTTTGGTTTGTCAGTCTGTGTTCACTTCTAGATCCTATTATCGTTGTGTCCTTTGGCAGGTGGAGGCTGCGGATGCTCCAGAGAGTTATACTAAAAAGGACTTTTGGGCCAATTTTATAAATAGTTTTAATGAGTGACCCAGAAAATCTATATGGCAGATTATGGATGACAGATCTAGAGAGAAGGCAGAGATTTTCCCTTCTCACTACTGTCTTATGATTTCATGTAGTCATGTTCCCTCCAACAAGACTTACTGTCTCAGTGGAGTCATTACCTAAGTGACAGGGTGATGACACCGTCTAGGCAAGTTTTCCAAAGTGCAGAGTAAATTCCTCTGGGGACCATCGCTCTTGGAGGTGGTGTCCCAACCTCACACTAGATGACAGTGAATCACAGGGTAAGGCAGGTATTTCCTTCTCAGTTTTCTTTTAATCTTTCTGCTGATTCAAGGAGAAAGTCAGTTTGGCCCCTCTGCGTCTTGCCCATCTTTCGAATCCTTCAGATCTCCCTTTATGGCAGAGACCAGGCCTGGTAGACTCTCGGCTTTGATAGGCAACTGTATTTAGTCAGAATATAGTTTCATCGTTTTGTTTTCATTGTTTTAGTGTGAATAATTCCCTTCTACTTTTGACGGGGAATAATGACTTTCCATTTATAGTAAGGACAAGGTATTTCTTTGAAAATTAGTTTTCTTTAAAGAGAAAAAGGTGAGGCAATCTAAAAACAAATACTAGAGAATATAATAATGCAGGTGATATGTGGCTATGGCATATTGCAAATTTGGTAGAGGAATGATGAAATCGTGGGAAATGTTGGTCTAAGATCTGCTCTGGTTAATTTGGAGAGATCCATGGTCTCTTCTTTGAAACTCTTGGGACCAGATTTGTTTTGAAATTCAGAATTGTCAGGTCTTTTTGGCATAGTACTTATACTAGATGTGATATGACTCCCATAGGAGACAGCAGGGCAGTGCTGTCATCAAGTGTGATATTATTTCTGCAGCAAAATGTATGGATGTTCACACCAAGGAGGGTAAACAGACATTATACATGGCTCCATGTGGGTTTAGGTTAGATTTTGTCACCAAATATGTTTTTGAACCAAACTTATGAAAAAAAGTTTTGATTCTCAGAGCTTTCTAGATTTCGGAATTGCAGATAAGAGATTATGGACCTGTCTTTGTAAATAAATTACATCATTTTCTAAAACACTGATCAAATTAATCATGCAGACAACAAATTAGACCCCAACTTGGTCAAAGTAACTCACCATCTTTTAGTTTATTTTACTGCTTGCGTGTGATCTTCTTATAGGTTCTGACCTGCCCCATACATAGGGCCAGGTAGATTTGTTTGTGGAAGAAAGTTGAATCCAAGTGGTTTACCTGTGTGTGTGCATACAGAAGTAGTTCCTGGTCCTGCTCATCCTTGAAGTGGGAAGGTCAGCATTCTGAACACAGAGCTCGCTCTCTTGGTAGTTCAGAATGTGGCTGTGGGGTGAGTGGCCAGTGCACTCAAGGACGCCAGACGATTTGGGATAATATTTCATTTGGTTCTGTTTTTAAAATGAAAGCCATCTGTTGTTTTGTTAAATATCTTGTTAGTTCTGAAGTCAGTCTAGTTAGCAATGAAGTCTTAATTTGGCGGGATGGCAGTGGTTAACAGGGCTATGAACAGCCTCCCAAGTGTGATGGCAGGAATGCCAGGCGTTTTAGTCTGTGAACTTATGACACCGCAGAGTGGTTAAGCTGGATTAATTACACTTCAGAGGGCCGTGTTGAGTTATTTGATTGTTTTTTAAATATTCCCTACAATGACAAATGAGCAAGTATTTTCTTACTTCAGAACACATTGAAAGTGTTTTGTCAGGTTCTTGATTTATAACCTTTGGAAGATGCTTCTATTTTGTATAATTAGAATTTGGTCATGAAGGTTACACTTGTGAAGTATTTGTGGGCTTTATATGTTCTCTTGCTAGCTATTTAAATACATTGATAAAAGAAGACATTATGGATATGAGAAGATAATGTGTTCCATTTACATTGTTTATTTCCTCGAGAAGCTTAATCAAATCTCCATTGGGTGTTCTGTGGGGAAGAGGCAGATCTAGATGCAGAATCTGAGGCTGGGGCCATATGGCTCATCCAGTTCATCTATCTTTGTAACTATTGTAATGTCATCCAGGACTTTCTATGAAAGAGTAGAGTTTTTCACTCCTTGTACATCAGCCCAACAGCTATAATCTTTTTCATTTCCTGATTCACTCTGTGGGCTTCCCTGGGTTTTATGCTGTGACATAAGTAAGACAGGTGGTGGGTTAAGTGCCATTTCTGGTGGAATAGAGACAACATTGTCCTTTTGTACCCACTCAAGAAAACTTGAATGTAAGTGAGGATGACTTGTGCTGTGGATATAACTTTGAATCTACTCTATTAAAGTCATTTACAGATACTGATAATCTATTATTAGTATAACACACTATGATTAGTATTAATAACCTTGTACCTGCCATTGCACGTGATTAAAATCAGTTTATTAATAATAGCAACAATTTTATTTATTGCTATTTATAATTCATATTTATAAATATTCGTTGAGCAGTTACTAAGTGCTAGGCATGGGTTAAGTGCTTTGCACGTCGGAACTCATTTAATCCTCATAACCACGCTATGAGGAAAGCATCATCATAATCTGCTTTTACAGACAAGGAAACTCTGTAAAGGTATCTGAGATTAAGTGATTTAGCCAAAGCCACTTATGTTCCCTACAAATACAGTAACGTCTCAACTCTCTGGCACTCGACTTTAAGCAACCTCATCTCTTTGGAGCAAAGCTGAGAACGTGAAAGCATGCAGAAACATTTCTGTAATTAAAATCGAGGCAGGGGCTGGCCCCGTGGCTTAGCAGTTAAGTGCACGTGCTCTGCTACTGGCGGCCCGGGTTTGAATCCCGGGAGCACACCAACACACCGCTTGTCCGGCCATGCTGAGGCCGCGTCCCACATACAGCAACTACAAGGGTGTGCGACTATGACATACAACTGTCTACTGGGACTTTGGGGAGAAAAAAGAGGAGGAGGATTAGCAATAGATGTTAGCTCAGGGCCGGTCTTCCTCAGCAAAAAAAAAAAAAAAAGAAAGAAAATTGGCATGGATGTTAGCTCAGGGCTGATCTTCCTCTCTCTCTCTCACACACACACACACACACACACACACACACACACACACACAAACACACAAATCGAGGCAAAACTCTCTGTATGAGATTGTGTGTCTTGACAGTGCAGAGCCAGAACTGCTGGACTCTGTCCTGTCCTGGGTCCTTTAGTGAAGGTCCTGGGGCCTGAGCACTTCAGTTGAACCTGAGGGTTGCAGTGTGATCACTAATGCTTCCAGTTATTGATAAAGTGAAATGAATTTTAGTTTAATCTGTTAGAAATTGAAGACAAAAATCCCTAATGATTAGAAAACTAGTGCCTGAGATGGGCGCATATTTGTCTATGTAAGACTATTCATTCTTTATGAAGATTTTTGATAACTGAGAAGGTTTGGATACTTGCACATAGATCTTAAGGTGTGAAGACAGCAAAATGCCATCTTAAAAAATGGAATCTTGATTTTTTTTAATGGTTTGATTAAGACGGTAAAGCTTGACTGTAAAATAAATTCCGTCTACTTCATTTGTCCCATTGTCATCTTTCCTCTAGATCGCTCCTTTGATGTCATTAAGTCCAGGCACCCCGCGCCCTTCCTTGCTGCAGGCCGGCTGTCCGACATGCTGAACGGGGGCCATGAAGTCTACGCCAACTGTATGGTGACAGATCAGGTAAGGAGAGACTGCTGGGACCAGGTGGCTCTGCCCTCTTTCCAAACCCGAGCCTGCGAGAAATGTAGTCAGCATTGCTCTTCTCTGAAAACTTCAGCCTAAGGGCAGCCCGGGTCATGCTGCAGTAGAGTCTCATTGTGTGAGCATTTAATTTGGGTCCTTCCGAGCACAGCACACCTCACCCCAGTGGGAACTACCATAGGAGGGGTCTTGAGACAAATGAGGAGAGTGTGAGAACTCTTCCGTGGGGCCCAAATAGGAACGACAATTGGCAGGCCAATTTCTTCTCTACAGCTTTTCAAAAAACAGTGTATATCAGCTGAACAAGCAATATCTGTATGCAAATCCAGCAAATGGTTATGAGCAAGAGCTTGGTGCCAGCGCCATATGATGCTGTCACAGAAATTACTTGTTTAATCCTTACAGCACACCTATTAACGTGTACTAAGGTTGTAGAGCTTTAATGTTAAGACAGAATGGTGTCGTGTACAGGGAAGCTGGAACCCTTTAGAATTCCCCACTCGTTTCCTGATGGAGGTGTGAGAGTTAAATCTTATAAAGGCAGATGGTTTGAATGTGCATCTACATATGGATTTACCGTTCTTTTCTGTAGCTCGGTGATCCTCAGATTTTAGTATTTGTAAAAATTAAAATATAGACCTGGGGATTTCTGCACACCCTAATTTATGAGCAATTTAAGGGATTTTTCAAGGATAATTTTGACAACACACAATTGCTGCCTTCTCTGTGGACTTTAAAACCTCATCCCCGTATAAGATGCACTACATATGTACTCACTGAGCAATCAGGTGTGTTTTACCCTGTTGTTGTCGTCGTTATATGCATATATTGTACCCTATTACTTATAGGTGTTTTCTGGGATATAAACGTTTTTCTGTCAAGTAGATCTCAATTTCAGCCCTTTAGTTGATATCTCTGCCTTTTCCTTTTATGTTATAAAACACTGTTACATCAGGGCTGGCCCGGTGGCGCAAGTGGTTAAGTGCGCACGCTCCGTTGCGGTGGCCCGGGGTTCACCAGTTCGGATCATGGGCGCGCACTGACGCACTGCTTGTGAAGCCATGCTGTGGCGGCGTCCCATATAAAGTAGAGGAAGATGGGCATGGGTGTTAGCGCAGGGCCAGTCTTCCTCAGCAAAAAAGAGGAGGATTGGCAGATGTTAGCTCAGGGCCAGTCTTCCTCACAAAAATAAATAAATAAATAAAACACTTACATCAAATGTGTGGTGTAAATGGCAAAGGTTGGGATGATAGTCACAATGACAGAGGAACCCATAAATCGGAATGGAGATCAGCTATAAATAACTGGTATAGTTTTTTGGTATAAAGCAGCTGAATGTCAGCCCTAGATATAGAAATCTAGGATGAGAAATCTAAACAGAGTTTAGGACAGAGTGGGAGTTCTGGAACATTCTTTGAATATATCAAGTAGTTGGTCTTGGTGTGCTCAAGCCATGTTCTGATTTTAAGAGTTTTATTCTGTTGCCATATTTTCTCAGTGTTTAAATGAAATACTTCTTGAGTCCTTATTTCTTTCTGGTTCTGAGCCTCAGTGAATACTGCAATATTTCCATTTACCTCAAGTAGCTAAAATTGTGCAAGACTCAGTATTATGTGGGGGAAAACTACGTCTTTATATGTTCCAAGATACATTAAAAATACAAAACTTCCTAAACCAAAGATGAGGTTAGGATATATATTCTGTTTTGGGAATATTCTGAGTGAGAGCAGTGTTGCTTTAATAACGTGAAGCATACTTTTAAAGAGAACTCAAACAGCCTAATCGATAAACTGAAATGTAGCAAAGGATTGCTGAATTTGTGCAATGAAAGCAGAAATAAAACTAAAAAATCTGGATACAAATCATAAAGTTCTCTATATCAAGTGTAGTATAGTTATATTGTTTTTTTTACTGTTCGTATGTCCATTTGAATAGCAACATGAGGAGTCCAAATTCTGCATATTTACAATAATTTCTAGCAATATTTGTAAGAATCTTATCTAATTTCCTTCATCTCCCTCAACCTGGCAGAGAAACTTAGAAAGATTGCTAGCTTGTTTGCAATGCTGTTTCCCATGAATTCTCAAGGTTATTAACCTACCTGATGAGGAAATTCACATGATAAAAAGTACTTTGAAAATTACTCTGTCATATAAACTACTTTGAAAAAAACGTTTTATTTGGACATCACTTCAAGCCTGCATATTTTAGTACAAAGAATCCTTGTATACTCTTTATCAAAATTCCAAAAAGTTAATATTTTACCACATTTTACTTTATTCTCTGTGTTTGTGTGCATGCAAACGCTTAAAACACGTATATAAATATTTTTTAACCATTTGAGAGTAAATTGAAAATGTGGTGCTCCTGTACTCCTCAATCTTTCATGGTGTATTTTCCTAAAAACGTGGTCATTCTCTTACATATGCACATATAGTTATCAAAATCCAGAAATCATCACTGATACAGTACTATTAGCTGTACACAGACCTTATTCATTTTAGCCAATTGTCCCCATAATGTTCTTTGTAGCAAAAAATTCAATGACATGTTGTATTTAGTTGTCGTGTCTCTTTAGTCTCCTTGAATCTGGTACAGTTGCTTAGTCTTTGTCTTTTACGACATTGATAATTGTGAAGAATACAGACCAGATTTTTGTTTGTTTGTTTTTGCTAGAATGTCCTTCAGTTTTGGTTTGTCTGATATTTCCTCGTGATTAGGTTCAGGTTGTGTCTGGTTGGCAGGAATATTACAGAAGCGATGTTGTGTTCTTCTCAGTGTGTTGTATCAGGAGGCAGGCGGCACCAATTTGTCCCAGCACTAGTGATGTTATCTTTGCTACACCAAGTTTCTTTTCAATAAAATTATTGTTTTTTTTTTTCTTCTTAAGTTATTAAGTATCTTGTGGGAGATAGTTTGAGTCTGAAAATACCGTTACTCATTTAACTCTTACCCCCTAGTTTGAGCATTCCTTGATGGTTTTTGCCTCAGTAAATTATTATTATGTTAGTTGATTCAGGACCCTAAATTTTCCCCTTTTGCTTCATTTCCCTTCACCACCCTGTCTCTAAATGGTGTCATTCTTTCTTTTTACTGTCTTCTCCCTCAGAAGTGATGCCTTTTGACGACCGCCACCTCAGATCACCAGTATTTTTAAGCCCCTTCCTCAGAGGCCTCTTTTCACACATACAGGCTGGACTTGCTGGTGATGATTTTAGCTCAGTCTTAGGCCCCCCACCAGCTCCCTGTTCTCTCTGCCGTGCAGATTTTTTCAGAGTGCCCTTACTTTCTGCAAAGGCTGATGGCAGGAGTATGACTGGTGACTTGCTGAGATTTGATGTTTATTTTATTATTTACAGGTAATGTGAAGTTTGGGGCATTTTCTGTCTTCGAGTGGCGCTGAGCCCATGCGTCTTGTGCAGTTTCATCTGCCGTTCATTTTGTTTGGTATTGTTTTTTAGGAGACTCAGATTTATGTGACCACCACTGCTTTGGTTACCCAGATTCCTGTAAACTACTTTTTAAATAAAGCTGCTTACTCTCAGGTTTTCTCTCAAGTATTTAAAACATTTCCCCTCATTTTGAGCCAGTGGTTCATAAAATGTTAAAAGCATCGTCAGTTGCTGGTTCTGTAATAAAGAACAACTTTATAAAATACTTAGTTGGTCGTCTTCCCTTTTATGAATTATGGGATAGCAGCCAAGTGAACAAGAACATATCACGAAAGACAGAATTCTCTGCTTACATAAAACAAAACAAAATCAAGAATAAACACAACAAGGAAGATAAAGTAGAAGGTTTTTAAATTGGGGAAATTTTATTCTTAGCTAAGCCAATCTTTCCTGCTTTTGCTCAGCAGATATTTTTCTTTTGTCTACCAGGTTGGTGATTTGGCTATTAACTACATTAATATAGAAGGAATCACTACAAATACCCACCCTGAACCCGTGGGTTCTGCTCTGGGGCCTCAGAGCGGCAAGCACATCCTTCCTACTGGAGCCGGCGCTGGCATGTACCCGCTCAGTGAGAGCAAGGAGGTGACATCGAGTCCTGAAGCCCGACAGTCCTTCAGGTCACCAGCTAGTTCATATGCTTCCAATTTGAATCTTTCTTTTGGTCTTCATGAATTTGAAAAGGAACAAAGTTGTCTAAAGAAAAGAAGGTAAGGTACTATATTCTAGAGGAAAATGTAGCAAATCAAGAACCTTGTAGCTGGACATGGAAAAAGCTAATTTCTTATTTTTTATTGTCCATACTACTTTTATTTCTACATCAAAACATTGCCCCCTTTTAGATTACTATATTCCTTGACTTGAAAATAAGACGCGTAAGGAAACTGACAAAAATATAATAAGGAAAACCACAATGAGATACTATTTTACACTTATTAGATAGGCAAAAATTTAAAAGTTTAACAATACCATATTTTGGTGAAGATGCATACTATCAAAACTCCTATATACACTTGACAGGAGTGAAAATTATGTAACAACTTTGGAAAATAGTTTGGCATTACCTTGTAAAGTTGGACATGCAAATATCTTATGACCTGGCAGTTTTACTTCTGTGTCCTGGGAGACATATATGTATTTACAGCAGTAGGAAATGACCCAAATAGGGAATGGATAGATAAATTATGTTATAGTCACGCAATGAAATACCCAGCTTCACTGTAGTGAAAATAAATTAACTACGGCTACATCTATGTACATAATAACATGCGTCTCAGAAAATAAAGTTGAATAAAAAGCCACGAGATACTTCAGTTAGATTTCACTTTTATACTATGCAAAATCGAACAGTTTATTAATTTAGAGCATGTACATATGTGCTTAAGCTATAAAGGAAAACAAGAGAATGAAGAGGAGAAAAATTCCCAAATTCAAGGTACTTGTTACACCCAGTGGGGAAAGTAGGGGCAGGGAATGGAAAGGAATAAAAAGGGTTTCAATGGTGTAGCCCGTGTTCAGGTTTCGTTGGGTGGGCTCGTGGGTGTTGGTTTTATTTTTATGCTTTGTAACTTACTTTATGCATATTTTCTTGTATATACAAAAATGTCATTAAAACAATAGTTTTATTGTATACGATGTGATGGTATATATGTGTGTGGGCGTGCATGTCCATATCTTTGTATCTGTTTCTTATCCTTCTATCCTGTTGTCTGTTTTCCTTAGGGAATAGGCCAGTTTCCATTGATTTCTTTTTATCCTGTTGTCCACTTTCCTTAGGAAATAGTTTATGTTTTTCCCATGCCCTAGACCTCTGATTATATGCCCAGTTTCACACATTAAATCATGTATCAAAATGAAAATAGAGTACCCACACATCTGTGAGTGTGTATATAAATATCTATGAGTGAACATCCATGTAGGTGAATGACTATTTGGCAGAGATTTAATGGATCAGAAAGAGAGAGAGAGGAGAAGCAGCGATCATGAGGTGCCAATCACTGTGCTGTACTTCACAGTGATATACAACTCGAGACTGTAAAACTTTAGCAGGTATTGATACCAAGGGTAATGTCTAATACGTAAAAATAAAAGATTTTCTTTAGATTTAAATTTTGTGAATTATGGTTTTAAAGGTGCGAGGTGGTAATTGCTGCAAACTCAATTGATGGGACATTTTGGGCTTTCCCCATATCTGCTTAGGACAAGAGGTTGCCAGTCAAGGCAAGATTCTAAACAGTTCTACAAAAGTTGATCTAACTACGTGTGCTTAGTGCATTCTGGTAGGATCTTTAAGATCTGTTGAGTTTGTGAATAAGTTCTTTATAGGAGCCACTTAGGAATAGAGAAGGAAAAGGGCCAGATGGGCTCTCCGTTCTGCTAATGCAAGCGTTGGCAGGCTATCTAAACTATACTTTCTGATCATGGTCTTTCTCTAGGAAGTTTTTCACTGCTGCAGATAGAATTTTACTTTAGAAGATAAGAAAAAGTATCTGGTTTGGGTAAAGGTAATTAGAAGTCTTTGTAAAAATGTTACTGCTGGGGTGGGGGTGGGGGGTTTGGAGAGGAGGATGTCCTAAGAGAAAAACCTTCCCACTGGTCCCACAGGCCAACTGCATCTCTTGTGCATTCTGTCTCCACTGAAAAATGTAGGGATGAGGGGAAAGGCCTTGCTATCCCCAGAAAGCCCCATTTTGGCTCTAGGGTGGCCGTAGAACCCTCGCTTCACTGGGCGTTATGCTGGGATTGTGTAAGACGATTGATAATGAACTCAAAGTGAAATGCACCCAATTCATTAATACGTGAATAATAGGCTGAGAGGCTGGGGAACTTCTCTTGAAGGAGGAATTTCGGAGCGCACACACACAAAAATGAGGTTAACACAGAGACCAGGCTAACTGGACCTAAGTCCTAAGTCTTCTAAGGTTTAAAACAATATTTTGGTGAAAGTAAAATATGCACAATATGTAACCATTATGTTATTGAAACTTAATAGCTGTTTTGAGAAGCTACAAGGGGAAACTAAGCGATGCAACATTCATGTTAAAAAACTATACAACAAAATTAGGTGATAGAAGACAACTGTGTGTTTTATTCTAGAGCTTACATTTTTAAAAGCTTTTTTTGTTTTACCATGATCCACAGTAAGAAATGCTTATCAAACCATGAACTACCCCCCTCCGCACACATACACACACAAAATTTAAACAAACATTTTATGAAATAACATGTGGAATGTATTCTGATATTTTCTATTCTATACTATTTTAAAAGAAAATTCTGGTCACAACCTACTGAATCAATTTCATATTCCACTAATGAGATTTTGAAGAATGATATTGTAAAATGAGAACCTAGAGGTATTCCTGAAGAATGTTCAGGTTAATAGCTTAACAAACAAAAATGGTAGCCCAATTTGAATTAATAGAAAAAGAAATGTTTCAAAGTATAGTATGCTAAATAAGATAATGCTCGCTGATCCATCTAGGGTGTGTTCATAGTGATGGAGAAAAGCTGTATACAGCTAGAAAGCCTTGTGTTAAAATAGGATATTATTGCAGGCAGCCAACCATTTGAACTAATTGGCGTTAGTTCGGAGATCACAAGTTTAGACCAATGCAGAGGCATGAGGCCTCAACAGACCTTTGACCTCCCACCCCCAAGGTCTGTTTCTACCCTCAGATTATCACTGATTTCAGGAAATTACATAGCAACCCCCCCAAGGTCTATTTCTACTCTCAGATTATCACTGATTAAAGGAAACTACATAGCACCTTAAAATATCTGTGGTTGGGTGTCTGTAATGTTCAACGCACCAACATTTACCAGAAAGGTTTTCTTAACTTAGTTTTTTTTTTTGCTGAGGAAGATTCACCCTGAGCTAACATCTGTGCCAGTCTTCCTCTATTTTGTATGTGAGTCATTGCCACAGGGTGGCCTCCAATGAGTGGTGTAGGTCCACGCTCGGGAACTGAACCCCGGGCCGCCGAAGCGGCGTGTGCTGAACTTAACCACTAGGCTACGGGGCCGGCCCCCTGAGTTTTAGTTTTTTATGAGAGATAATTTTATGGACTCTAACATATTTGGGTGTTGAATTAAAGCGGAGTCCCCCTCCAATTTGTCCCTCCTTCTCAATGAGAAGGTGAAGGCCCTCAATGAGTTCTCAAAGGAGAGAACCCCACTTTGGAAATCCTCAGCAGTGCCAGTTGTGGTCTTACTGCTGGGTTTGCTGGTGCCCAGGAGGACCATGGAATGATTCAAGGATTCGAGACTAAGTCTTCCACATTCAGATTAGAGACATGGATAGTATGACCTCTGTACCTAGGTCATAATTTATTAAGTTGATATTCAGTGTCCATTACATAGCCTATGTTTTTTTTTAAGAAAAATACCCCAAATGGGTTAATTCAAAGTTTCATTTTCTGGTCCTTTACATTTCATAATCAAGATGGTTTCATTGTGGTGTCATTAAAATTTTCATTCCAGAACCATAATAACCAAAGAAAAATACACTTAAAAATGCATGGTGCATTAACATGCCTGTGAAAGCTGTTGGCCTCAAAGTTTGAGTGGTTTAAAATATAAGTGTTATGGAGTGAGCCAGGAATGTGGAAGGTCAAATTCTTTCCTTTTAATTTTATGGTTATCAAAATTAAGTGAGGGAAGAAAAGCAGTAGTTAAGCTGAATCACTGCCTGTCTCCGAGGTGGATTTCTCATGGGAATCATTTTTAAAAATCTCTGAGAATGATAATCTAATGTGACACATTTGGGACCTCGCTTGACTCATGTCTGACCTGTGTCTTGACACCAACTCTGGGGTGAGACCTTTGCTGTCTCTCCTTGCGTGTGTCTCTGCCCTCCTGAGTTTTCCAGTCCAGGGTAACAGAGAGAATGCCGTGCTGCATCTGTCATGTGCAAATTCCCCCAGAACCTCTTCCCGCCTCCCCCCGCAGAGAGCCCTGTGGCTCTGTTTTGTCTGCATTTTAATGTTTGAAGAGTAACTATTTGGGGCTTGTAATAATTACATTTACAAAACAGAAATGGTGAGGATAGTACTAACTCCAACCAGCTTATGTTTTTTAGAATACTTGAAATGACTTTTGCTAGGTAGAAACGTTCCTTTGGGGAAATATAAATTTTGTTTAAAAAGAGGAGATGTGGAGGGAGAAAAAAATAAAAACTACTTAAATATAAATTTTGTTAGAAATTAAATGAGTACCCATTGCACCTCCCACCAATGAGAACATTTGAATTCAGAGAAATAGAAACCAGTGACTCTGTCCACCAGTCTGTCTGCTTCCTAGATGATTTATTTGTTTCCTTACTCTGTGTTCTAGTTCTAGCCTCGATGCCCTGGATGCAGACAGTGAAGGGGAAGGGCTGTCTGAGCAGTCCCATCTCTGTTACGCTCCAGTGTCTCCGAGTTCCTCGAGAACTGGGATTCCTAGTGGGGATGAGCTGGAGTCTTTTGAGACCACCACTGAAGCAGATTTTAATATCTCCAGGACTGAGTCACTTTCTTTGTCAAGTAACCTGCAGTCGAAGGTATTCTGATTGGTATTAATTTGGTTCATTGTAAGCATGGAAAATATGTTGCCTAAATCCATCTTGATCTGAAAGACAAATGATGTTTTATTCACATGGGCAAACTATTTTTTTTTGGAGACCCATGAGCTGATTGAGTCTGTCTTTTTAATTTCTCCCACTCTGTTTAATTTTGTATAGTCCTCACTTACAATGGCTGATTGGTGTTTCATTAATTCACCGCTAGTACATATAATCTTTTGCATATTTGGAAAATTTTACCATTTCATACAGTAATTTCTGCTATCATTCCTTAAAGGGAGAGAAACTGGCAGTATTCAGTGGATTAAGTGATCAAACTTGTTTTGCTCACGTAAATTTTCTCTTGGCCTGGGTGATGAGGTAAATAATATTGCTAACGCAAAGCTGACACTTGTTGAGGTTCCTGGCTGTGTGAACTAATCGGGAACCGCATAAACTTGATCAGTTTTTCCATAGGACACAGCTTTTCTCTCATTGGAGTTCATTTTATTGTGGTTGTTTTTCAAAAGACTAGATAAACTCTTCCAATCTTACACAGAAAGCCCTTTTGTGTTTGGACATATGTTTTCTTCCTTTTTGATTTCTATTATTGTCTACTTGTTTTCTTTTTAAATTGAGTTTACTACTATAAAACCATGTGTGCTACGCCCACGCTTCCCTTACAATGAACATGCGGTTGTTGTGATAATGCTTTATTTTTGTAGTGTGCTCTACAAGATACAAAACATGTTTTACGTGTGTACAAAACACATCATTTTCTCATACTGCACCTAGGATGTAAGCGGTCCTTATGTTTTAAGTTTTGAGCAGACGAGGCTCTGGAGAGATTGGACGTCTTGTCCACGCTGCCCAAGCCTGGTGATCCAATCGGTCCTCTCACCACAGATCCGGAAGCCTTTTCCCTCAGCTCTAGGCCTGTAGAGCTGTCACAGTCTTTCGAAACCAAAGGTCATATAATATTTCTGGATAATAAGAAACGGATTTGGTTGTTAATATAAATACTTAGTTTTACATCTTGAATGGAATTGTGAAAAACCTCATCATTACTTGAAATGAAAAGTGATTCAATCTTTGTGAAACAGTTCCATGTTGTTCACTTTTAAGAAGACTCTGTCCTATGAAACATCTTGCCTTGTCTCTGTAATTACGCTATGTAACTTTTTGCCAAAGAGTTCTGGATAATTGTCAAAGCCCCATTGTTGTGAAAAATAATTACCATACATGACTTAAATGCAGAGGACGACATTTGACTAGGGCCTTTGTGGCCAGCTCACTGGTAGGGGTATAGGGCAACGCGGGCTGGCCTTCCTGACACACCGGCCCAGTGGGTCCTCCCTAATAAGACAGTCAGGGAGCTGCGGCCCGAGGCCCTTTGAGGCAGGGTCAGCTTCTGTTTTCAGCGTTCCTCCAGGCCCTTCAACTAAACTGATGAACTTAGTGAAACTGTGTGTTTTCACTTAGGGTGAAGAGAGGAGACCAGTGCTTGTGCAGGACAGTTGCTGATGGCTTCGTTTTGTAACACATTTTGCGTTACTTTATTTTAGCCCTAACTTTAAGTGATATCTTAAAAATGGATGGGTAGGAACAATCCTAAGCCTACTAGGCCCCTGTTGGATGGGAGTTGGGTACCATAAATGGCTTTAATGGTGTTCTATGCATATTTATTTAAAATTTCTAGAACATGTAAGAAAACGAAGTTTTAATTATCTTGCCATCTTGCATTTTTCACAAATGTTGCTGATACAACAGAAATAGTATATAACTGGAAAAATAGGAACAAAAATGGAAGTTATTTAAAAGGAATAAAATTAAAGATATATAAATCAGTGATATTCAGACATCATCCCAGAAAGTGCTGGATGGAAGGTCTGTTGAAAGATGAGCACAGGCTGGGAAGATTGGTATACTGACCTGATGCATTCTTCCCTAGAAGCTGCAGGTGACATTATAAACTTAAATGGCTGGAAGTTTTAAAAACTCTTGTAATTGTAAGTGGCTATTCCTCTACCTTCTAATAATCATTAAATTTAGAGATATCAGTTAATATAAAGTTTTGCTTGAATGCTACAGTATAAAATAACAAAAATAACTGACAACTCAGATAAAAAAACGTCAGATTCATCGTTGAATATGCAGAGACATAGTCATTTGGCTTCATTTTTCACTTTTGACCAACTGGATTGAAATGTCGTACTTGCATCCTAAGGTATGTATAGGAACTATTCCCAAAAGCTCAAGTTTACTAGAACATTAAAAAGACAATAGAAAGTTTAAAGTTGTAAGAGGCAAAGAAAAACAAATAATAAGATTACATCAGAAGTGTTCACGTTGAATCTTTTTACAAAGATGCTAATTTAGTAACATTCATGGTGAACACATACTTTCAAGTCTTCTGTAGAATTTTTTTTTTTTTTAATTTTGTTATGATCTCTTTTAGGAATCGTTGCTTTCTGGAATCCGCTCACGTTCTTATTCCTGCTCTTCACCCAAAATTTCTTTAGGAAAAACTCAGTTGGTGCGTGATTTTACTGTGTGTAATTCAAGTGAAGGTAAGCATTATTGACCATTTGGCTGTGAATGCATTCTATTCCAGGGCAGATTTTCAGGTAGTAAAAGTACATAAAATACACAGAAGCAGCAGGCAAAAATTTGCAATTCTATTTTCATAATTGATTTTTCTAAATGTGGCAAAACCTTTTTCTCATTGGATATCAGTCAAGTTATAGATTTGGTTTCAATTAAATTATAAATACACACCTCTCTGTTGCTTTTTTCTCTGAATAAAATGTTTTCCTTAAGAATAGTATAAACGTGAATTTATTCTAGGTTCATTGTGAGTTTTAGAGAATTTTCTTTAAATTATAAAAATTACTTTTGCCCTATATATCAATGGCTGAAATAATCTAACTCCTCAGAAGCAAAGCATTGCAAAATATTTTCTTTCTTTTTTTATTTAGCAAGAGACTTCAGAAAGTTGAAATAACAGAACATATTTGAAACATGAGTAAATATATCTCAACATTTCTTGTGGCAATGTAAGCAATCAGAAATGTAACTTTTTTTTTTTGTGAGGAAGATCAGCCCTGAGCTAACATCTGCCAATCCTCCTCTTTTTGCTGAGGAAGACTGGCCCTGGGCTAACATCTATGCCCATCTTCCTCCACTTTATATGGGACGCCGCCACAGCATGGCCTGACAAGTGGTGCATCGGTGCGCGCCTGGGATCCGAACCGCTGAACCCCGGGCTACGGCAGCGGAGCGTGCGCACTTAACCGCTTGCGTCACCGGGCCAGCCCCCAGAAGTGTAACTTTTATGCAGTAAGATTTTAATTGGAATATAGTACACCTACAGAAAGGGGTGCAGATCATAAGCAGATAGCTTGATGAATTTTCAAAAGTGAATTTGGATCAATAAATAGAACAATTATGGCCAATGTGGAGCTGCCCTTGTAGCTTCTCTCATCCACCTCCCCCATTTTCAACTTTATTTTTTTTATTTTTTTGTGAGGAAGATCAGCCCTGAGCTAACACCCATGCTAATCCTCCTCTTTTTGCTGAGGAAGACCAGCTCTGAGCTAACATCTATTGCCAATCCTCCTCCTTTTTTTTGTTTCCCCAAAGCCCCAGTAGATAGTTGCATGTCATAGTTGCACATCCTTCTAGTTGCTGTATGTGGGACGCGGCCTCAGCATGGCCGGAGAAGCGGTGCATCCGTGCGCGCCCGGGATCCAAACCTGGGCTGCCAGTATCGGAGCGTGCGCACTTAATCGCTAAGCCACGGGGCCGGCCCCTCAACTTTATTTTGAAGTGTAATTACTTCATACTTTCTGTACAAATTATGTAATAATTAAATTTAAGGCATATATGGAAGTATTTGTGGCAATCTGTAATACATAGCATTGTAATTTTTTGTCAATGTATTAGATAATGCCTTTTTTGTCTGTTATCCTCAAGAGTCTTAAAAAACTCAGAGAGCATGAGATGTGCTTAAGTATTCTCAATTTCCCAAAGTAGAATATTTAAAATAAGGTTTATTTTACTCCTTCCTTTTTCTTTCCTTTGTTCTTATTCTTGCTTTATTGCATTGTTGTTGTTGTTTTTCATTGTTATGCCATGAGGGGCAATATTGAAAGCATAATCTTTGTGCTTGGAACTGCCATCCTAAAGCAATGATTGACTTATTGAGCATCTCCCAGCTTATTTGTTGAGTGAATATAGTAGACAAGAACACATACAGTGCAAAACAAGTACCCTAGGTGTTTTTTTTTCGTTTTTCTTTTTTCTTTCTGGGAAATCTTTTTGGAAGAGGAGAAAGCAAAACTGATAATAAATGTCCGTTTTAATTTTTGGAATGGGAAGATGGAGCAAAGGACTAAGAGCAAGAAAGGACAGGAAAATAAGATGGAGTGAATTTGCCTTGGATTTTTTTCTTCCATACCATGAGTCTTTCTAGGATCTCCAGGCCTCCCTAACCTTGTTTAGGTTGGGATTCCTTCCAATGGCAGCTTGACACCTTTTCACTGATAGTCCTAGATGGCGAGGTAACTTTATACCGTAACCACTTGGAAAACTCTCTCAAGTCTTCCGTGGAGTGTGCAAAATGGTGGCCTCACCTTGGGATCTGTAGTATCTCTGATTTTTAAAGTCAGACACTTCTGAAGTTTGGTATTGTTGACCAGATAACTGAGAGGAAATTGATTGTTTATAAGAGACGTGAGCCCTGATTTATGAATTCTTTTATAATAAGGAAGGATATCTTTGCCATACATACAACCCTTAAATCTTTGCATTTGAATTAGAAAGGATAAAAAACTGACACCAATTCCTTTGGATTTTCTGTGAATAAAAGCTTATCTTTAGACCATATATTTAAAAACAGGGCTATTTGAATGGAGTTTGATACTCTCCAGAAGGTAAGAATTACAAACAGGCAATTTGATTTGAGGCTACACACTAAATGTACAAAGGTTCCAGTGGATATTTCTGCAGGGTTGCAAACATTTGATGGATGCCATTTAGAGAGTCAAAACCATAGGACTCTGAAGAATAAATTAACTCTTAAGAAAGAAGGAATAATTTTAACCATATATGTGATCAAAGCACAGGTGTGAAAACTTAACTAGTTCAAAGATGTATTCTAACGTTTCCTTGTTTCATTTGTGTAGATTAATCAGAGGTAAATTGACATTTGTGTTGCTGTAAATCCTCTCCCAATGAGTCCTGAATGGTCCTGAAATTTTTCTCTGTTTAAACAGAGTCCATGTCTCCTTTTGTCCAGTGGGACACTCCCTATATGTACGTAATACAGACGTACAAAGATAGGGTGGTCTTTCCTTTTTACTCTTATTTGAGACGTTCTCTCTTCCTTGTCACTTCCAAAGAGTGAGTTACTATCATTTCTCATATTTTTTTTTTTCCCTGATCCAAGACTGTGACGGTGGCAACTTTATTATTTAATGCTCGTATGTCCATAAAACAAAATCCAGTCCCATTCTTCCCTTTGGTACATGATGGGTTTAGGTAGAAAGGAACATTGTCAATATTGAGATGATAATTACAACCTCATCAAGATGAAGAAAAGTGTTCTACATTTAAGAATTTGAAGAGTGCAGTGAATGTCCTTGAAAGTTGTTGTGCACTGACGGATGGAATCCTAGTGGATTTTGTTCAGTTGCCTGAGTCTGGGTCTAGTACTTTATTGGCTTGATTATTTTAGACATGTGGCTTATTCTCTTGGCACCTCAGCCTATTTACAATAAGGATAATGATTTCTGCCCATGACTTAATTTGAGGGACATTGAATAAAGGCAGTAAGATAAAGCCTTCAAATTCTTCAAAGTAGATTTTCTATTACCTACAAGATAGTGTTAGTTCCACACTGATATTTATACATTTCAAGGGATATTTATTTACTGGTTTTCCTTGTTATTATCTGGCCCATCTCCCTTTTTCAACCTGGTTTTGCCTCCTCACTCTTCTGTATTGTAACGGTAAAGGATTTGTCCCTGCTCTGTAGATGGTGTGCTCCACAGTGGCCGTTCCCTCCTTCAGTCTCTCTCACTGTCTAAGTCAGTGTCTCTGCTCCATCCCCGTAGTAAGTACTCCACTTCTGGAAACAAGATGGCGCTAAGCTGCTTGCATGAGCCTGCCCCTTTTGCCCCCCACAAGTCCAATGGGAAGGCGGTTTTCTCTTTCCTATGAGCCACAAAGCACATCTCTGAACTGGCTGCTGCTAGGACTCTATAAAGGCATTGCAGCTATATTAAAATGGACTCTTCTTATGCTGGCCTTCAAGACTTTTCTTTTGAGCTTTGCTACAAAACAGCTAAGGTATTTATTGATTATGTTGGGGAATTAATGATGCAAATAAGGGATGAAGCTCTGGTGAGAAATATCCAAAAAGACAGAACTAATTTTCTGCACTTCTGAAAATGTTTGCTGCCCTTGCTGATGCTGACTTAGTTCATAAAGTCGTTAAATGTTGCCATGTGGTGGCCTCCTCCCCATTCTCTCCAGATTAGGAAAAGTGACAAAGCTCTCTGGAGCAATGCCTTACTTATGTACAATGACTTGCTTTCTCCTTATTTTCTAACTGGGTGTGTATAATGATAAAATAAGGTTGAGTGTGTGCACTTCAGACTAACACATGACTGCTAGTTTGTCTGTCTTAGTTTTCATTTTATTGTTCTGTGTCTTGTAGAGCAAAGAGCTTACAGCTTACCGGAGCCACCAAGAGAAAAAAGGTATTTTAACTGTTCCAAATTTCCTGAGGGACTTCTTGATCAATCTTGAAAAATGTTTGCACATCGCGTCCTTTTTGATATCTGTTCAGTGTTTCGTGAGAGGTTTCTGTGTAACGAGCCTGCCTGAATCCCCTCTCCTTCTGTGATCTTTATCTGTGTAGGTTAGCCAACTGCTCCTTTCAGTCCCCAGGTGTGCAGGCCTCAGGACTGGGGACAGAGTATTCTGTTTTGTGTTATTTTCAAAGCCAAACACCTCCAGGGTATAGGACCAAGAGGGGAGCAGTGTGAAGACCACCTGCTTTAGAAAGGCATCAGGTTCTCGGTAGGTCTGTCTGCCAAGACAAGAAGACTTACTATGGTGACAGGCCCCTGGGTGGTCAGTTATAGAATATGCCTAAACGTCTCTGCTATCTGTCTTTACGGAGTATTGCTTAGAAGTGTTAAGTTTGGAACAAAGAATAAATGAAGCAGAAAGTACTTGAAGCATTATCGGTTTCTGATTGGTACGCAGATTTGAAATCTTTAAGCCTAAAAGCTTACTCACTGGAGTAAAGCTTGGGAAGCTGACTAGTGAGCAGGCAGGATTGCTGAGTTCTCTTGGTCTTGAGTAACTTAACTGCTCATGAGTCACACTGTGAAATAGCCCTGGGGTGATGTCAGAAATGGAATAAATATTTGGCTTTAAGAGACCATGTGAAAAAGAGGAAAATGGTTTTAATTTTGGTGATATTAATGCCAAAACTGTGAAGCATTTTAATATATAGATCAAGATGGGCTATTTTGCTTTGAATCTTGGAATAAAAGGATCAATAAGAAAAAGCCTCCTTTTGTTCATTCCTATTTTTTGGAGACCAGAATAGAAACTTGGAAATAATAAAAACAGAGGAAGACTAAGAATGCCCTGTAAGAATAGGATGATGAAGATGACATCATGACAATGACGATGATGAAAGCAGGAGCAGCAGTAATGACCATCACTGGGTGTGCCTGCACTCTTTTACATTGATTACCTCATTTAAGCGATTTACTCTGGACGCGATTTATTTCTGGAATTTGCTCATCATCCTGGTCATCGTTTTGATTAGCAGTCTTCTCTCCGCCATCTTTTTAACAATTAGAAAAGTAATGGACTGATTGTAGAGATATTTTTTAAAAAAAATCAAATATATTTATCTTCCATTAGGATAGGGATTTAAAACTGGAAAAGCCAATGTCATAATTGATTAAATATTACCATATAATATGCTTTAACTTGGATGAGATGTATAGGGAGTGTCTCTTTCTCTCTTATTCCTCATTTTCTGTCATTCCTGGTCTTTTCTGTTCTTTAGTCTGTCTTGGTCTACCTCCTGAAACCATCTGAGGTTCTCAGTCATATCCCCGGTGTATCTAGTACAGCAGATCTTTCATCTCACCTGCTGTATTCCTGGTATCTTGTTGGATATGTCTGTGAGATCCCTGGCCATGCCTAATGCTTAGCTTTGGTCATGTTGTGGATGTTTACTTGAGGGTCTGCCTACTTTGGAATTCTCTTATTTATATTGATCTCTTAGTTTCTGGAAAAGAATGCAGCCAGGTAAAAGGGGGCTCACTCCAGATCTTGTAGGCTCATTTCTGTAGGAGCAGATACTTCATCTATCCCAACTTCTTAAAAATTGTATGGCATGACACAGTTATTTTATTGCCACCGTCTATCTTAAATTTACTACATCCATTAGCTTCTATTAAAAAAATTGAGCATTTGAGTGTTCAAAGAAGTCTCACTGTATCAATTTTCAATTTGGATAGTGGGAACTTTTTTTTTTAACACTTAGATGCCCAGTTCTTAAAAAAATATAGTTTATAGATATAATAGGTTGAGGATTCAGATATTGAGGATCCATATTCTTAATATATTTTAAATATCTGTTTACCTGTTGGAGAGGTGATACCCAGAGAGTCTCTGAAGAATGAGGCTTGTAAAACTGTATTGTGGGTGATTCCATTGGTCATCAAGTCAATAACAGAGCTTAGACATTCTTGTTCTGGGATGTTGAAAAGAGTTTAAATTAATTTTTTCCAGATTCCTATAAATTGAAAAGCTGTTTAAATTCTGTTGTCAAATCAATTGAGGATTTTTCCCTTTCAGTTCTTTTCTAAATTACGTGATTGTTAGATAGGTGTATACCACACAGTTACATTAGATTTGAAACATGGAATCAGCCAGCCTTCCACACTTGCCGAGAGGTTACGCTGTGTTGTAATGGGCACGTTCTCGTAATCTGACAGAGATCATGTTGATGATATTCACACTTCTACCACGTTGGATGGTTATTCTGAGTTTTTAGTATTTAGTGTTTCAATATTTTTTTGTTTACTTGGTCATGTTTCAGGTCTTATCAATCTTTGAGCTTAAAGATTAAGTGGTATGATTTTATGTCATTTTGTGAAAGTTTAGAGGATACATGGGAAATTGGGTGCATTTATAGGTTTTAAATCAGAACTGAAATATTGTTCTTGACATAGCCTTCTGGACTGTGGGGGATGGGGAGTAGAGTTGGGTAAACAGGAAGTGATTTTCTTTTATTTGAGAAAGTTAAGTTGTGTTCCTGCTGGGAAGTAGGGGAGAAGACTTCTTTTTTTTTTTTTTTTTTTGAGGAAGATTGGCCCTTGGCTAACATCTGTGCCCATCTTCCTCTATTTTATATGGGACGCTGCCACAGCATGGCTTGACAAGCTGTGCGTCAGTCCGTGCCTGGGATCCGAGCCTGTGAACCCTGGGCCGGTGAAGCGCAGCGCGCCAACTTAACCGCTACACCACCGGGCTGGCCCCGAGAAAAGAAGAGTTCTTGACCTCAAAATCCACATGGGCCTTACCATTCTTTAACTCTGAGATGTAGGTCTCCTCGCCATACTGTTCTCTCAGATGCTGAATGGCACCTAGTGGGGTCATAAAAGGTCTTCCAGAGGGGATTCTTTCTAAGCTCTCAAATGTGTTTTTCCCCCATTCCAAAAGTGAGCCTGTTGAATATTATGCCAGGAGTTTTGCAAATTAGGATGCTTAAGACACAAGAGGTATGGAAACTTACAATGCGTTGACTAGTCAGTTATCTGAGGAGGTGGCTGTGGAAGGAATTAAGAGGGTCTGAGTTCCTTTTGTTCCTCTGAGTAGTTGTGGGTGCATTCACTTCTATTCACCTCTTTCCTTTCTAACTTTTCAACTGTTTTCTCTCAGTAGCAAGCACAATTTCACTTCCTGTGCAGGATGCGAGTAGCAGGACACACACTGTCCTGACCATGCCTTTAGATCTGCACGGCCAAGAGGCAGCTCTGAAGCCGTTTCTTAGTTTTTCAAATGCATTCATAGGTTTGAACTCTCAGTTATCTAATATAGAGGTTAAATAACTTAAAGTTTTGTTTAATTGTACCAGGTAAGTACATATTATATTTAAGTGTCAGAAGAGGCCTTAGAAATAATTTAGTCTAAGCTTGTCATTGATCAGATGAGAAAAACTGAAGTCGTAGAAAGTTGTCATTAAACTCGACATTTTCATGAAATGTAATCATACATATTTTGGTGCATATGAATAATAGGATTACTTTTGAAAAGTATTTCCCAGAGATGAATGTGGTAGCCACTGATGCTGGCAGATGAGCAGCTGGGAATGGGAGAGACTTCAGTTATGAGGTGTTCGTTTTGGAAATAGTCTACAGAAGGGTTATCTGGTTTGACAAGATACTTAAGTTGATCTTTAATATATTCTCTTTCTCTCTTGCTCACTCTGTAATAATATTAGAAATATAAGACTGTCAGAGGAAGTTCCAGGGGAAATGCAGCTTTTTTTCATAGCTGGGACGTGTATTTTTCTAGAGAATGGTGATGTGGATTAGAGGACAATAAGTGATGTTCAGTGTGTTCACAGACTGGGTGCAGTTCTCTCGCGTTTGCCTCCTTTTTGGAGGAGTGTCCACAGCTTCTCTCCATTGCAAGCTAGAGTCGCAGATTGCACACAGCCTGATGGAGTGGGAGAGACTGAACAAAGGGACACACACGCTCTTCTCAGGCTATATTGACAAAGAAAATGTGTGTCTGCTGAGTATCATTTCTGTGTTTCGAAAATAAATAACATCCGGTTTCACATTGTTATTTGGCTTCTCTGTGCCCTAGGAAAATTCTGTTAGCATGGTAAATAGGGAGATGAATGTTGTCAGAGAAAAATTATGAGTCTGATTTCTTTTATTTCTCCAATATTTTATTATGAAAAATTTTAAAGTATACAGAAAAGTTGAAAAAATTATATACTGAATACCTATTTCCACTACTTAGATTCTTAACATAATTGTTAACATGTTGAGATAGTTGCTTTATCATACATCTGTCCACCTATCCATCTATAATAAGACACATTTTTAATAGTTTCTGTCTTTAGCTTTAAAATAACCATTAAAACCTGAAAAAATATGTAAAAATTTATGTATAAAAATATTTATGTATATATACACACACATTTTATGAATATGCTGTGTTTTGCTCCTCTTTAAATCCTGTAGGCCATGATAACAAATTCTTTTTTGTAGAACTCAGGAAGAAGAATGGGATAAGTACATCATACCTGCCAAATCGGAGTCTGAAAAATACAAAGTGAGCCGAACTTTCAGCTTCCTCATGAACAGGATGACTAATCCTCGGAATAAATCTAAGGTAATTAAGGTTTTGTGCCTGTCGTCTCTAAAACATAGACGGCTCAGCTTCTCAGTGCTCAGTGTAGTTCCTACTTTCCCATTAAAATCGCTTACCTGAGATTTAATACACATATGTCTGAAAACCTCTGTTTCTTATGGAATATTGTCCAAGTTATTAGAAATACTAAGACAACTACATTCCGGTGCTATTCCAGTTTGGTGTTGTTGTACTCGTGATGTGCAGTCCTCGTGTTTTGATAGAAGACATAGAGATTGCTTGTATGGCTTCTGTAAGAAGGTTGCCTCTCAGCATTTCTTTTTTCTCATTTTCCCCCACTTTCCTGCTGCTGCTGCTATATCGGAAGACAAAAAGCAAGGATGCCAAAGACAAAGAGAAACTGAGTCGACATCACTTTGTCCCTGGAACATTCTCTGGGGTTCTGCAGTGTTCGGTGTGTGATAAAACGCTCCTGGGGAAGGAGTCATTCCAGTGTTCCAGTAAGTTCTCGGGCCTGGTGTGCTGTCTTTGCACGTGGCCTCCCCAGACAGTAAGCTCTCTGAGAACACGGCCACTGGTGGCGTATTTGCGTAGACTTGCATCCCGTCCTCCCCCGCTTGCTCCCTCTGCTCCAGTCACCCTGGCAGCTTTGCTGTTCTTGAGACATGCCACACATGCTCCTGCTGTAGGACCGTGCCAGCCTGTTCTTCCCTCCGGCAGCTCTCCCCTCGGCCCCATGGATGGCCCCCTCGCCTCCTTCAGTCTGCTCCGGTAATGCCTTCTCCGTCAGGCCTTTCCTGACCATCTGATGCTTGGCTCATCTGAGGCACCTGATGCTTCCGCTTTTCTACCCCCTCCCCACCCCTGCCCCAGCATTTAACGCATCCAGCTTACTATATATTTTATGTATTGGTTTTACTGTCTCCTTCACCAGGAAATAAGTTTTACGAGGTCTGGATTTTTGTCGGTTGATTTCATTCTCTGCTATATCCACAGTGCCTAAACGGTGCCTTGTGTATAGTAGGGACTAAGTAAATATTTGTGGAGTGGACGAATGATCAGCACAAAAGAATTCAGGCCCAGGCAGGTGAAATACATATTATGTATTTGGTGGCCAGAATTAGGGAAATATTTGGGAGATGGAGTGGGAGCACAAAGGGAAGAGAAGAGCAGGGCAAGGCTACAGGTAAAGTTCCTCTTTAAATTCCTAGAAAGTGATTAAATTAAAATTCAAATGTTGCATCGATGGTTGTACATCTGATGGAAATACACTCTGCGTGTGGCATGAAAGGCAGACTGCGTCGTCTTCTCCCTGTGGATCCTGTCTGTAATGATGCCAGCTCTATTGCGTGCTTTAACTTTGCTTTCCTTGGAGACTTGATTTCTTTCTTTTGTGGGATCTGAAAAGACATCAAGCAGTTCAGATGTGATGTATTTTGCTGAGTGTTTAAAAATCTGGTGTAACATTGTTGATGGATTGTTTCTGGCTTGCCTGCACATCAGCAGTCAGTTTATACGTGCAATGCCGTATGTTTCATAGGTCGTTCCCAGGGCTGGATCCCTTCAGTTGTACCCCAGCCGTGGCCACTGCCTTTCTCTCTCCTCATTTTAAGACAAACTCCTCAAGTCGGATGCTGTCCACTCACTGCTCTAATGTCCGTCCCTTCGCTTCCTCCTTAGCCATCTGCCTTCTGGCCTCTGGCCTCACTACTTAGCAGCAGTCCTGCTTTTGACGGAGACTTGGAGTCGCTCCCTAGTCAAGTCTGCGAGTCTTGCCTCATTATTCAAACTCACTGATCTGTCTTCTTGTTGATTGTCCCTTCATTTAGATAAATGCTCTCCGTTCCGTGGCCCCTACTCTTCTGTTATCCCATCTGCATTGTCTCCTTTCTCGGAACTTGGAGTGCGCTCCGAACTCAGTTCCTGGGTGTTTGTTTTCTCCTTTATTGTTTCTAAGTATAGTCATCCAATCTTTTGTTGTAAAACACTATATTTAGACCTGTTCTTCCCAGATTTTAACGTCTTCATCCCTCACTTTCTACTTCCGTATTTCCAATTGCCCAGAGAGGCTGAACACCCATGTAATTTGTGGCCGCTTTTGACACATTGCTGAAGAACTGCGGTACAAACCAAGACTGTCCCAGCCACACTGGCTCAGAGTGACCCTGTCTGTGGGCATCGTCACCCAAAGATTGCATTGTCTTCAGACCAGCGTGGCTAAAACGGACCTCAGAATCCACATGCAAAAGGCCGTCCTTCCTCCTGTGTTAAGGGCACGAGCTCAGCTCTTGGGCACGTTGAACCCTCCACTTGCTTGTCCTCCAGTTGACATTGTTCAGTCGCTCGCTCTTTTCTCCCTGTCACCACTCTGGTGGGTTTTCATCTCCACCTTCTGGGCTGCTGAGAGCCAATTGTTCTGGTTTCCCTCCCTCTGGGTGTTTTCCCTTAGGATTTATTCTGACTACATTTACCGCATGAATCTTGGTACACCACCACTTTCGTCAGCCCGCATACACTGAAGAACATGTCTCCTTTGTGTTTACTGGATGAAGCCCGGGCTCTTCAGACGCATTTGGTTCCCTGTCTGCACCTACTGGCGAGTCCTCCCGCTCGTTCCCTCGTCAGCCTTGGTTTACTCCAGACGCCTGCCGGGCCTGCTGCCCCACCTCCTGTGTTGTCCTGCCTCTGTCCTTCGTGTTCCTGACTCCTCTGCATTGGTCCCCATTTCTCACCTCCTCGTGGGAGGTCTTCTGACCACTGTGGCTCAGTTCCTGCACATCATGTTATGAGCTATTTATCCTGTTCTGTTTAATATTGGGTTATGTACAACCTCTTTTGATGTTAACTACTAGAATAGCCTAAGTTCTTGAAGGACTGTGATCACACAATGGTTCTTTTGTATCCTCTACAGCAGCTTTCACAAAGCTGGGCCCTTAGATGCTCAGATGTAGTTAATGACTGATGGAAAGCTTAGGAAGCCAGCGCTCACTGGAAGGTAGACTTTTGTACAGAATATGTCTGAGAATATACTGAGTTGGTCAGAAGTTTTAGTGGAAGATGGAAATTGCTGAAAGTACATAGGATATGTTTAGCTTTTAAAATAGTCATTAATTTTTTAAAAATGCAATAAGATTCATAGAAGATAAAAGATTTAAGGAGAAACTTAAAATTATCCAAAATTTTACCACCTAAAGAAAATTGCTATTCATATTTTGATGGAGCCCCTTACAATAAAAAGTCACCTTTTTATGCTAATGTTTCATTTGATGATGCTGTCAGATGTGTTTAGTTATTCCTAACTTACTGAACATTTAAGTTTTCTCCAAGGTTTTCACAATATAATGTTGAACGAGAATTCTTTTGTACACATCACTGTCCTTATCTTTGATTATTGCCGTAGATTAAATTCTAGAATCAGTGTGCATGTATATTTGATTTTCTCTTTAACCCGCAGTTTTTTAGAGGAAGTTCTAAGATTTACAGTTTTTTGGGGAGGAGAGTGTTGGGGTTTTAAACTTTATTATTAAGTTTTTTACACTGGGTAAGAGAATATGACATGTACAATCTATGCCATTTTGGGTAAATAATCCTATTTAGTTAATGTATTTTTGTTTTTAATTGTGAAGGTTAGTATTTCTAATATTAAAAACATGATATGATATAAAACAAAACATAATATAAATATTCAAAATCCTGGTGTCCATATTTTTCTTTGTTAAAGCCTGAGTTGCTAGTTTTCCACAAAAATTGTATTTCTATAAAATTCTCCTTGTTTATATAAATTTCACTGCTTATATTTTGGTGTTACATTATTTGGTGCACTGAAGCTCACACATCATACTTCATTGCGGATTGAACTTTCATCCACATAAAATGACCTTTTAATGCCATTAAATGCCTTTTACATTGAATTTTAGTTTGTCTACAATTAATATTCCTCTTGCTTTCTTTTTCTTTGTATTTCTCCTGACTCTTTCTATCTATGTTTTGATTTGGGGTATGTGGCCTTAATTAGCTGTAGGTACTCTGTAATGTAATGAGAGACCTTGTTTTTTCTTATTTACATTTAATTTTGCAGCTATCAACTATCTCTTCTCGTTTTCTGCTGTTTTCCTTGACGTCTGGTTTAGCTATTTGGACCCTGTGTTTGCTCCTGTTTTCTCCAGGGATTTGGCAAGATGTACTCTGTTAATATCTGCTAATAATAACTGTAAGGCTGTGTAAGGCTTATTATTGAATGCTCTTTTATTTCCCTTATATTTACCTTTTATTCCCCTAGCCTCTATTAGTATACTGAATTCATTATTATTCTTTTATATTGTATGTTTAATCTTTCAGGAATAATTTTCTATTGCAACAGTAATTTGATGTTTGCGCTCAGTTCTGTGTCATTATTTACAACAATTGTTTAGATGTGACTGTTTAGCTGATTTCAGGGCTCACTTTTGCCCTCTCCTCTTTTTTTAAATAAAGCTGATCCATTTTTGAACCCTTAATTTTGATTCTGCTCTAAATAGAGTAGAATAGGATTTCAGGTTTTTTTTTTTTTTCAAGAAGGTTATTGGAATGATCTGTTTTCTGAAATCTTGTGTATCTATGGGTATATCTTTGCTTCTTTCACGTAAGAAAAGCAATTTATCTGGCTAAGTAAATTCTTAGGCCTAACTTTTCCCCCTCAATACTCTTGTCAGCTGGTCTGTTTGTATCTGGGCATCTGGCATCATAGTGGAAAAGCCTGGGGCCTGCCCGACCTGACTTATCTATTGGTAACCTGTTTTTTCTGCCTAGGTGCTGGAGGACTTAATTTTTTAATCACACAGATATTGTCAGAATGTGTCAATAGAATAGGTGTCATTTAATAATTTTTCCTAGGAAACAGACCTTATGATTTGTCTTTTTTGGTTCTTTTTAAGCTTTATACCAGTTTCTGTCAGTTATAACTTTGACTATAGCTTTCCATCTAGTTTTTCTGATTTCTTCCTTGGACAAGTGTGATGTGTTATCGGTCTTCTCTGTAGGACATTCTCTATGGCATAGTTAGACCCTTCTTTTCTGCACATTCTGGAGGGAATCTTTCAGTGTCATGTCACAGTGCTGCTTTGATGTTTCTGTCATGTCGATCTTCTCAACTGGGTTTAAGTTCTGCCCTTGCCGTTTCTCCTTCCTCGCATCCTTTCTCGTCTCTCAAAGCGCCGTTTCCCTCCCATCTTGCTGGTCTGTTGTCACATGCTGTTCCCCTTTCACACCCTTTTGGTCCTATTTTATGTCTCTTATGAAAAGAGCACATTTCAAATATGTAAGTTTTTCTTCTCTATTTCTGGATTGAATACTATCCAGGCTTGTTCTTCCTGTGGTTTTCAGTATCCCTTTGTTCTGTGGTAGCTCATAGATGCACTTTTCCTTTTCCTGTCATTCGCTTGTTCTAGAATGAGGAGAGAGCTGTCTGATTTCGATGTTTACCAGCAGGACCAGTTCGTGGATGAGCCTGGGCTCTGCTCATTGGCCATCGAGGTGCTGGCTGAAATGCCTCTGCACACCTACGGGGGGACGGTTGCTGGGATCAGCCTCCTTCTCGGTTCTCAGTGGGTTGCGGGCACTTTTCCAGTGTGGCTATTGTGCACCTAAGTGGGACCTTCTACCCCTGAGGAAGGATCCCTTCTGAAGAGTTTCTGTAGACCGTAGGCACTTCCATCTGCACACAGTGTGTGGGGGCGGGTGGGAAGAGGGGGTCATGGTGGGGGGTGTGGAGGCGGGCGTGGGGAGAGGGCGAGAAGATAGCTCCTGGCCGGGAGCCGCCCCCAAACGGGGCAGCTTTCCGTGAAGACGGCTTGGGTCTTGGGGCCAAGGGGCAGAAAGGGGCTGGTGAAGCGTTCCTTTCCTTCCTCCAGTGAGATGAGGCCACGTTGTTTCATGAAGCAAAACACAGGCAAGCTGCTCACTGTCCTCTTTGAATTTGGCTCCCTCTAGTTAGCAGGAATTCCTGTTTGAGGGGGAAAATACATTGTTTTTTCAGCGTTGTTGTCAGTTTGTTTTCTTTCCACCTTCATAGCCATTTGACCTGATGTGGGAGCAGGCAGTTGCTACCAACCAGATGTGAGAAATCCCATCAGTATAGGGCGTATAGCACAAAATGTGTTCTCGGGCAGACGCAGAAGTGTTTGTCATGCATATTCCAGGTTTCATAATTGATAAGGCCCTGTGCAGAAGGGGAACAGTATCTCCAAGGAAATGAAAATATTACCAGTGTGCTTGAGTGGTGGGGCTACGTGTGATTTAAATGTTTTTTTCATTCTTAAAGAATTTTCTCAATATTTTTATTGTTTATGTGCTATTTTTATAATGACCAGTAAAAGCATTATGTAGTCTTAGTCATTTCAGATTAACTTAAATAAGATGGATGCTTTTCCCTTTGTTGTTTCAGACTGTAATGTGAATGTACATAAGGGATGTAAAGACGCTGCGCCTCCGTGTACCAAGGTGATCGCTCAGTCGTTTGTGAATATTGCATGTTTATATCTGCTAGGTTGCTTCATGTGGTCCGTTTAGGTTTTTACTCTTTTGTTACTGCCTAGGTTTATTTCTAAAGTGATAAAAGAACACATGCTCAAAGTGAAGCATTACTCCCTTAACTGTGCACTTGTAGAAACAGAGAAGGCTCCAGTCTGCCATTTGTGTTACACGGGGTAGGCGATTAGGCTTTCTGTTGGGACCAGTGTGGTTTACCAGTGCAAACCCGGAGCATATGTAAATGAAGTCAAGAGCGGTAATTTGCAAACATCAGAATCACACGGAGGACCTGTTAAAACACAGATTTCTGGGCCCCACTCCCAGAATTGCTGATGCAGTAGGTCTGGACGGGACCTGAGAGTTTACATTTCTAACAAGTTCCCAGGTGATGCTGCTGGTCCAAGGACCACAGTGGGAGGCCCACTGGACTAGAGGAATGTTCTTTGTGTTTGGGGGTGGGCTTGAGTAGATGGGGGCATCTGTCATTCTGTTCATTTCTTTCTCACTCTAAAGTCATATCAGAAATGCATGTGAGTGACCATGATGATCCTTCAGAGGGAAACTTGGAGTCACCGACCTCCATGTTAACTGCAGCACACATGGTGTCAGGTCGCAGAGTTAAGGGTGGCATTTCAATGCTCGAAGTCGTGTGTCCTGTAGACGGGAGGACTAGCCTGGAGCAGAAAGAGACAAGTAGGCGAAAGGCAGTGCTGGTGGAACTCCCTTTCAGCCCGAGTCTGGACACAGGAGCTAGGGACTTCTGTTCCTCTGGGCTTTTAATAAAGCTGGGATATTTGTGAGACACGTGTCATGAGGCATACCTTCGTTGTAACTTGCACATCTCATTAGCATAACATTTTTCTCTTTGTTGCATTTAATGTCTTTTGCTTTGAATTCCTCTTTGTTTGAAATAAAATAACAATGAAAGTGATATAGATAACTGTGAAACTGTGTGGACATGCTTGTAGTCCAGTGGTGCTTTGATCTTATTTTTTGTGTTTCTAACATTCTTTACCAGAAATACCAAGAGAAATACAAGAACAAACCGCAGACCGTCCTTGGAAGTAAGTGACGTGGAAAACAAGAACTTTTTTCAGTTTCATACATACCACACATTTTTCCAAAGTAAAATACCCCCTCATCTTGTTTTCTCATTTGCCCAATTATTTCTTCCTGTATAGCATACTCTTGGCATAATTTCTAATTATACAAAGAGGTCAAGAATGGCATAAACTTCTCTGGCAGCCTGATAGCCTCTGTACTTGGATGTGCTAGATGATCTTTTGTATTGGGGAAGGCTGTATGGAGGAGCTATTATGCTGTTGCCTCAATTCTAAGACATGATCTAGTGTCTTGATTTAATAACCTTTTGGAGGAAAAGAGAAACACTACCTTAAACAGTACATAATTTTATGTTTTCCTAGCAGTCGCACATATTTATCTAGGTAAATATAAACTACATGCTTCATAAGAATCACACAGTTAGGGTCAAAATCTTCAAGTCTGGAGTCTGGATTCTTATCGGTCCTGCTGTCCATCAGCGGAGCAAGCCGGCGCTTTTCAGCAGCTGTGCTCAGGCTGTGGTCTCACCAGCTCCTTTAGGATGATGGTGAAATTACAAGGCACACCGATTTTTGTTGGCATATGGTTAAACTCACTGGTTCTGTTTTTTCTTGAATTATATACTGCTGAAATTTACACAGTTTCTTTTGAAAATAATTGGCGGCCTTTGATAGTTCTTTACGTTGTATGTAAGAGCCAGTCACATCATCGTCTCCTAAGTTTGAAAATCCTTTGATTTATGGTGAAAGATTTTGCAATTTCTTCTGCCTGAAATACTACATTGCTTGCCACATGGCAGGCACTTTAAGTTTGTGGTCACTTTTCATTTCAGTGCTGTACCAAAGTGTGACCAGTGTTTTAAAAGCCACTTGAATCAAGGGACAATGAAGTATGCAAATTCATTGGTGACATGCAATCGGGTGTGATGTTACACAAGTGTAAGCTAGTGCGGGCAGTAACAGCTGTGACATCGTTTACTTGCCTGCTTTGACACCAGAAGTCCCTTTGACCTCAGTTGTAAGGTGCTTCTCAATTTCATAAGGTTAAGCATGAAAATAAAAGGTATCTGAGAACTGATAAAATACCATCTATTTCTTCTCTGTACTTGAGAGTCATGAGAATAAAATTAACTATACATGCATAAAATCCTTTGTAATGTCCTGAGGTTCCCATATATTCCTATAATATTACAGGATTGAAATATTTTCCGAGAGCCATTTATAGTACACATCAAATGTAAATGCGTGTGTGCCCATTACATTTTAGAACTAACCAGAAAGGTATGGAGGCACCATTTAGTTTTCAGTGTGTGAGAGAACAGCCCAGCTTGGCTTACAGGTTTCATTTGCCTGAAATTCTTACCCATAAGAACAGCCTCCCCGGCATCATTCCAATCCACTGACATGTTGTGTGTGTGTGCTTGTTTGTACACACAATGTGCTTTCTAGTAATGGTGCTAATAACACCTTGCATCCACTTAAAGCTGGCTCTAAGGAGCACAGGCGGTGGTTTATGGGAAAGCTGGCCTGTTTCCCCATTCCATTTTCTTGCTTGTTTGTGTCACCCCAGCCGCCCACGGTCTCTGAGTGGGTATGCTGGAGCAGTCCTGCAGCCTGGGGATCAGGAGGGTGTGGAGTGGAAGGGACATTTGAAGCAGGCATCGGGATGTGGCAGGGAGACTGCTGCGCGGCCGGGCATGCACATATTAGAAGTGGCCATTCGGATGTTCAGCTTTCTGGCTTTTAAGTGTCTGCCTTTACTTGTAATTACTGTCCTCTATGAAAACCGCATGAAGCATCCGTTCTGATTTCCAGATTCTTCATTTAGAGACGTCCCACTGCCTGCTCCCTCCTTGCACCCCTCTTCCTCCATGCCCATTGGATTGCCGCCAGGGAGGAGAGAAGCTGCAGGGCAGGGCCCTCCGCTGTCCAGGAGCGTTCCGAGCACCACCTTGGAAAGGTGAGGCGCAGCGTGGTTTTACGTCTCAGCGTCTCCCAGCCGCTGCCGGGGCTAACTCGTCTCCCCCTCCAGCTTCAGGAGGTCGGGGACGTCGCTGGAGTCAGAGAGTGACGGCAACACCTGGAGAAGCAGGTCTCACTCTGATGAGCTGTCACAGTCCATGGGCTCTTCTCCCTCCTCGGAGTCTTTCCTAATGGAAGGTGAGGAGGAGGCGCGTTGGCGCTTGCTTGTGTTGCTGTGAACATTGGGCAAAAGGAATATTTTCTGAAGCATTTAAGATTGAAACATATTCTTTTGTTTGTTTTAAAAGAATTCTGTTCCATGGTGTCTCAGGTATAGGCTGTTCTGAAAAAAGGAATGAAAATTTAGCCCTGGAGGAGACTCCTGGATAGTGACCAAGGAAATATGATGTGTTTTTTAAATGAATATATTTCCAAAAGATTATGTCATAAACATAATGAAGGGAAGAAATACATTGTCTGCTTGTTATCCTTTAAACAAGTTTTACTGCTGTTGACGAATTGGAATAGGATGGTACGTTACCACTGTGGACTTCAGTTAAGGCTGAACTTGCCTGGTCTCTGAGAGATTTATTCCCGTCTGCTGCCTCCTCCTTCTGGGGGAATAAAAACACTTCTTTAAAAAAAGAGCATATTTCATAGGCTAGGCCTTAATCTGGGGAATTATTTATTATATCCAAGCTGTATCAACAAGTGAAGGAAAACCGAATGAAGAAGTGGCAAGAGAAAGGAGTGGACTCTGCCCCAAAATCTGTTTCTTTTATTTAAACTGAAGCCTTTAAGTCCATTGTCATCTCATCTTTACTGCTCTGAGCTGGAATCTCTCCAGGAGTGTTGTTTGGACAAATAGGATTTAGTTTTCTGAAGGGGTGTGTGTGTGTGTGGTCAAACTGTCAGAAGGATCTGTCCTCACATGTGACTCTGCCCTGCGTCGTGTTTACGTTACAGACAGCAGGCCACGCAGAGAGCAGACCCTGTGGGCAAGCACAGAATGCAGATCTGAGTAAGCAGTGCAGAGTAACTGGGGGCAAAAGACGTCGGTGGGTTCAAGATTCTGCAGGCACAGTGTGTGCTCTGAAGGTTACCAAACCCAAAACTGAAATAGAGCAAGCCCAAACAAACCAGGGAACTTCCGAGGTCCTTTTTCTGCATAGACGCGGTCACTGTTTTGATACTGATGCCTCTGCTTTCCCGAGAGCCGTCTGGACTGGAACCGTCTCACCAGCGTGGTGTTGGGAGGTCCCACCTCCACGTCAGCGATATTCTGACTGAGCTGTTTCTGTGTTCACAGCAGGTTCTCTGGGGTGAGGATCCGTAAACGTGGGTGTTGGGGTATGTGTGCGACTCCACTTCTGGCTTTTCTTTTCTTTTCTAAACACACGTCAGACGTCGTGGATTCGTCTCTGTGGAGTGACCTCAGCAGTGATGCCCAGGAGTTCGAGGCAGAATCCTGGAGTCTTGTGGTGGACCCCTTGTTCTGTAGCAGGCAGGAGAAGGATGTCATCAAAAGACAGGATGTCATTTTTGGTAAGCATTTCACATAAGCTCTTTGGGCTGAAGCAGCGTGGTGAAGAGGAAAGAGCGTGGAATTTGAAGCTGTACGGACCTGGGTTCAAATCCCACCTCTACCATTTTCTAATAACTTGATCTCAGACAAAATATTTAGCTGACCTGGGCCTCAGTTTCTCCATCTGTAAAATGAGGATAATGATACTCAGGATTGAAATGTTGTGAGGCTTAAATGAGGCGTTGTATGTACCTAGTACAAAGCAAATCTTATTCCTCATCCTTTCCAAGTTTAGTTAGGCATGGCCTGTGCTCTTTTACCTCTTCTGCTGTAAGAATCACAGTGAATTTTCACATATTAAAGGTAGGGTGGACAGGACTGCTGCACAGATGGCCTGTAGTTACCCCCACACTCCAGGGGTGCCATTCACATAGACCGCTGGGGACTGCAGCCCCTGGGTCAGGGCAGTCGTGACTGTGTGCAGTCCTCAGTGTGGAGCTCAACTCTGGTGAGATTTTACTATCATGCTATTTGGAGTGAAGGCAATCTGAATTAGGGGAAGTTAAATTATAGACTAGTTAGGACAAAAGGAAGTTTAAAAAATTTTCGGGTAAAAAGTAGATGCTAAATAGCAGTTCCAATAAGATACCCTACTGTAAAGATGAGACTAACTCTTAGTTTTCATTAATCCTGTGTGTGCAAGTATGGCTAGAAAGTCCAGTGTCCATGAGAACCCCTCCTCACCTGCATTGGATGGTGGTTATGCAGGTCAGATGAGACGTTGTGCTCTGAAGTATGTCCAGGGCTGTATACATGCGAGTTACTTTGGAGAGGAAGATGCTGTCCCCTTGAGTGTGTCTCCTGCAATATTTATTATACTGTATTTTTTCTTTATTTGCCTCTTGTCATATATTATTAAAAATAATCTAACCCATTTGGGGTGAATTATCATGTAGTGTAGTTCACAGCATGGCCTTTGGGGTCAGAAAGGCTTGTTCTGGGGGAACCCTTCACCCTCTCTTCTTCATTGTCTCTCTTTTAAAGATGAGGAAAATCATCCCTATTTTTTGGGTCGTAATGGATACATGGATTAAAGGATTAAATGAAATGATATGGGTAAGTGCTTAGTACAGAGTAGGTGGTAAAAACATGGTAGGATATGATAATAATTTAAAGTTAGTGGGTTCTCTATTAAAGAGATTTTTGTTTATGATAAAATAATAAATAAGGCTACATTTAGATTTGTTTATCCTCCATGACTAATATTTTATATTCTTTCTCAAAACATGTCAATGAGTTTGGAAATGCTCATTAATCTAGAACTTCAACTTCCGGTACTCCCACAAATTGTGAATTATTATTTTCTCTAAGGACATAATTTTAAAATTGAGATTTAATTCACATACCATAAAATTCACCCCTTTACAGTGTAAATCTGGTGCTTTTTGTATATTCATAAAGTTATGCAACCATCAACCACTATCTAATTCCAGGGCATTTTCATCACTCCAGAAAGAAACCCTGTTCCCAGCAGCAGTCATTCCCCATTTCCTTTTCCCACCAGCACCTGGCAACCACCAATCTTCTTTCTGTCCCTATGGGTTTGCCTGGTCTGGATATTTTGCATAAATGGAATTGTACAATATTTAGTCTTTTCTGACAGGCTTCTTTCACTTAGCATGCTGTTTTCAAGATTCATCCATGTTGTAATATATATCATATATCATATATCTGTAATATATCTGGTAACATATATTTTATGGCTGAATAACATTTCATTGTATAGATATACCACATTTTGTTCATCTGATCATCAGTGGATGGTCATTTGGGGTTGTTTCCACTTTTTGGGTGACATGGTAACTTTATGTTTAACATTTTGAGGAACCGCCAGACTGTTTTCCAGAGGAGCTGCACCATTTTACATCCCCATCCGCAGTGTATGAGGGCTCCAATTTCTCCACATCCTCACCAACACTTCTTTAGTATCCATCCTTTTTTTTTTTGGTGAGGAAGATTAGCCCTGAGCTAACATCTGCTGCCAATCGTCCTCTTTTTTCTGAGGAAGACTGGCCCTGGGCTAACATCTGTGCCCGTCTTCCTCTACTTTATACGTGGGATGCTGCCACAGCAAGGCTTGATAAGTGGTGCGAAGGTCTGCACCCGGGATCCAAACCTGTGAACCCTGGGCCGCCGAAGCGGAGTGTGCAAACTTAACTGCTATGCCACTGGGCCGGCCCTGTCCATCCTTTTTATTATTTTATTATCCTAGTGTGTGATAAGTGGTGTCTCATTTTGGTTTTGATTTTCATTTCCCTGATGGCTAATGATGTTGAGCATCTTTTCATTGCCTCTTGGCTATTTGTATGTCTCTTTGGAGAAACATCTATTCAAATCTTTTGCCTATTTTGAAGTGGGTTATTATACTTTTTATTGTTGAGTTGTAAGAGTTCTTTATATATTCTAGACACAAGTTCCTTATCAGATATATGATTTGCAAATATTTTCTCCCATTCTGTGGGTTGTCTTTTCACTTTCTTGATAACGTCCTTTGATCATGATACATTGTTTTCTCCTGGAGAAGGTGGAATTTTGGAGACAGATCCAGCAATAGAAAGGATGTGTTGCTGTATGCATTGAGGAACTTCATTATATTTAATTCAATTTAATTCACCAAATTAATTGTGTTCCTACTCAATGCAAAAAACTGAAAGAAAGAGAGAAAGAAAAGAGGTAAACTTGGTTATATTTTAGTAGAGCATTTAGGAGAGAATAAGACCTGATTCCAGATGAAGGTGCCTGAAGATGTTAGCTAGTTATATCATGAGAGTTTTGGACACATGGGATTCTTATTTATTGGACTTGACTTATACATATCCCCTTTTAATGTCTTGGGAAAAGAAAATAGTTTAATATTTTGAGCTTCCAGTAAATGTTTAGTCAGTGCTAACTTTTATAGTAGAAGAATATTGTTATTCCTGAACATTCCTTCTTTTTAATTTGCGTAACATACAGTGTTTATCTACTAATTTAGGTCAAGAGGGATACTTTTTCTTTTTTATTGAGGTAAGGTGACATATAACATATTAGTTTCAGGTGTACCACGTAATGATTCGATATTTGTATATATTGTGAAATGACCACCACAGTAAGTTTAGTTAACATCCGGATACTTGTTTGTTAAAACTTTCTGCTCACCTGTTTCAGAGCTGATGCAGACGGAAATGCATCACATCCAGACCCTGTTCATCATGTCGGAGATCTTCAGGAAAGGGATGAAGGAGGAGCTGCAGCTTGACCACAGCACTGTGGATAAGATCTTCCCCTGTCTGGACGAGTTGCTGGAAATCCACAGGCATTTCTTCTACAGTATGAAGGAGCGAAGGCAGGAATCCTGTGATGGCGATGACAGGAATTTCATCATCAACCGAATTGGAGACATTCTAGTACAACAGGTAAGAAAGGTTTAAGGCCTAAAAACCTGAAAAACCTAAGGGTTTGCAGACTCTCTACAGTGTTAAAAGCCTATCGAGACCTGGAATTAATCTCATTACGGTTATTGACAGGTGAGTTTGGTTGATTTTCTTTCATTTCGTGCTGGTTTGTATGACTGATGCCTGAGAGCTGTTAACAGCCCTTGAATGGCTCCTCTGTGTGTCACAGGACTTGGCTGGGTCTTCCCTGTCCTTGTCCTGCCTCCATCAGGAGTCACAGCCGTAAATGAATTCCATGTGGAAATTCTACTTAGGCTTCTTGATGCAGTGGGCTCTCCGACAACATGGCTCCCCCAGTGGGCCCGTGATAGTCTCACCAGCATCTCTAAGGCAAATGCTGGCTCCTCTTTGGAGGAGCGAGGCAGACCTATCTATTCTCATTAAAGCCCCGGAGTTCTTGCCTGGGGGACAAGGCAAGCACATCTCACTAAAAGGAGGCACTTTTTAGGTGCTTGGGATGTTTGAAGCATCAGTGAGAATGGGCTGTGCCACTCTCCTAATAAAGAAACAAAACAAAACTTACTTTTGACAATTCGTATTGGCCCCCTGTTCTCTCTGAAAGGGGCTCTCCACTAAAAGCATGCTAATATGGAAGTTAAATAGCATGTGTTCAGCAACCACAATATGGCAGGCACTTTTAGGATACTTTCGTCATGTTACCTCACTTCACCTTCACAACACTGTGAGGTAAATATTATTTTCCTTGTTGTAAAGATACAAAAACTGAGGCATGGAGGAGGTAATGACTCTCTCAAGTTCACACCTCATATGTGACGTAACTGGGATTTGAATCAAAATCTGCTCTTTCAACAGTGAGTTAAGAATGTGGTACCTTGAGACATCCATAGTGACGTTCTAGGGAAGCCTTTCACCATCACTAGGCTGTAAGTCCTGGTAAGGCAGGGAGTCTTGTCTACGTGGTTACTATCTATTTCAGCACCTAGAGCAATGCTTGGTGCTATGAATATTTATTGAGTGAATGGGTCACTTGGGAAAAGAACACCAGGAATTCACACGAATGCCATGTTTTGCAGTCGCTCACAGCACTTGAGGAAAGGCATGGAGATCCATCCCTGGTTACCTTACCTGGCTTTCTCTGGCTAGATGCCAAAATGTCATCTTCTCCTAAATATTAATTTTGAATCCATTTCACCCTGTCACACACAGCAGTAGAGTTCAGCTGTTAGTCTGTATGCAGAAATGAGGGAGTTAAGTTCATTAATATAAATATGATTAAATAAAAATATTTTTAATGCACAAAACCCCACTTAATAGCCCAAGAGCTACTTCTACATGTCTAATATTATAAAAATCTACATGAATAACAGGTTTTTAATCACAGTGTTATTGGCTTTGCAGATTACCTTTAAAGTCCTAGACCTGTCTGTCCCCATAATTCACCTGAAACATAATAGAGCCAGGTTAAGCTTTGCAAGACAGTTTGAATAAAAATGTCTGAATGTGTCTAAGTGAACTGGAATCTGAGTGCATTCAAAAATGAAGTGCAAGAGCCAGCCCTGATGGCCTAGTGGTTAAAGTTCGGTGTGCTGCGCTTCGGCAGCCTGGGTTCAGTTCCCGGGTGTGGACCTACACCACTCGTCTTTCAGTGGCCGTGCTGCAGCAGTGGCTCATGTAGAACTAGAGGGACCTACAACTAGAATGTACAGCTATGTACTGGGGCTTTGGGGATGAGAAAAAAAAAAAAAAGAGGAAGATTGGCAATAGATGTTAACTCAGGGCAAATCTTTCCCAGCAAAAAGAAAAGAAAAAACGAAATGGAAGATTATCTTGTCATTTGAAATTATTTGCATCTTTCCTCGATGCAGAAAATCATGACTTTTAATTCTAATCCCTTAAAACATAGTTAACAAAAATTTCACATCTCTTAAGAGAAGAAGTTCTATTTTTACTTAATTTCTATGAATAAAAGCAGGGCTTAAATTGAGACCCAGGTTTGGGAAGTTGGCTCTCTCACACAGTGAGCCCAGTGGTCTTTTGGATGAAGCCCACTCTTCTTTGCAGAAGGATCCTTGGTATTCAGAGAAAGGATTTAAGGCTGCTTTTGTGTTCTTGTTGGTGGCCATGCTTTATGGGTATGGCAAGGGGGTCCCCCAGTACTGTGTAAATAAAGTTGTTTCCTGAGGAATAAATTAGCAAAATCCCCAGACAGTCGTGTGGGTGTGGCGCTCTGTGGGAACAAAGGAAGAGCAAGCTGATTAAGAATGTATGAGAGAAGAGTTTGGGGCAATGCCACACTCTGACCGTCGAGACTGCACATCTCAGGAGGCTGGGCTGGAATGTGATGGTAAGTCAGTCAGTGGAAACTTTTGGTGTTGGTGAGAAATTGTGATCATGAAAAACATGGTTGGTATAAAGCAGCAGTTTTCCAACTTCAGGTACACAAGCATCTCCTGAAGCTTGTTAACAATGAGGAATCCTGTGCTCCAACCCCCCCGTGTGTTGATAGGATTGGGATGGGCTCTGGGTTTTGGCATTTTTAAACTTATTTTTTAAATTAGTTTTTGCCCCAGTGGTAACATATTTCAAAACTATAATACAGTACCACAACCAGGATACCGGTATGGATACAGTCAAGATACAGAATGTTTCTACCGCCCCAAGGACTCCTCATCTGGCCTTTTTATAGCCACACCGACTTCCTTCCCGCTCCCACCTGCTCCTCAACTGCTGGCAACCACCTATCTGTTCTCTGTTTATGTAATTTTGTCATTGCAATAATGTTCTATAAATTACATACATGTTACATAGATGATATACATGGTATGTAATCTCTTGGATTGGCTTTTTTCACTCAGCGTAATTCTCTCAAGAATCATCTAGGTGGTTGTGTATATCAATTGTTCCTTCCTTTTTATTGTTGAGTAATATTCCCTGGTATGGATGTACCACAGTTTGTTTAATCATTCACTGTAGAGGGGCATCTGGTTGTTTCTAGGTTTTGGCTATTACAAATAAAGCTTCTACAAATATTCACGTATAGATTTGTGGGCAAACTTATATTTTTGTTTCTCTGGGATCAGTGCCTGGGAGTGCAGTTTCTGGGTTGTATGGTGGTTGCATGTTTACTTTTATAAGAAACTGCCAACTCTTTTCCAGAGTGGCTGTACAATTCAACATTCCAAGCAGAAATGTACAAGTAATCCACTTTCTCTGTGTCCTCACTAGCATTGGTGGTGTCACCATTTTTTATTTTAGCAATTCTGAGAGGTGTGTAGTAATATCTCATTGTGGTTTAAATTACAATTCCCCAGTGACTTGTGATGTTGAATATCTTTCCATGTGCTTATTTGCTGTCTGTGTATCTTCTTTGGTGAAATGTCTCTTCACGTCCTTTGCCCATTTTCTAACTGGATTCTTTGTTTTCTTACTGTTGAATATTGAGATTTCTTTATATATTCTAGATACTAGTCTTTTGTCCCATATGTGGTTTGCAAATATTTTCTTTAAGTCTGTAACTTGTTTTCTCATTCTATAATTATGATGAAGTCCAGTATATCAGTTTTTCATTATGAAGATCATGCTTTTGGTTTCAAGTCTAAGAACTCTTTGTATAACCTGAGATCTCAAAGATTTTCTCCTATTGTTTTCTTAAATGTTTTATAGTTGGTGTTTTATTTTTAAGTCTGTGATCCATTTTGAGTTAATTTTTGTATAAGATATGAGACTTTGGTCGAGATTCTTTTCTCTTTTTTTTGATCTATGGATGTTCAATTCCTCCAGTGAATTGCTTTTGCCATCTGTCAAATATCAGTTTGGCATTTTGGGCTTCTGCTCTGTTCCACTGATCTGTGTGTCTATCCTTCCACACAGTCTTAGCTAACTGTAGTTATATAGTAAATCTTGAAATTGAGTAGACTGGATCCTTTCACTGTATTCTTCTTTTTCAAAGTTGTTTTTAACTCTTCTAATTCCTTTGCCTTTTCATATGAATTCTAGAATAATCTTGTCTATATCTACAAAAAAACTTGCTGGGACTTTGATAAGAATTGCATTAAACCTGTATATTAATTTTGAGAGAATTGACATCTTTACTATGTTGAGTCTTTCAATCTATGAACATGGCATATTTCTCCATTTATTTAGCTCTTCTTTGATTTCTTTCACTAGCTTTGTGTAGTTTTCAGCATACAAGGCCTGTATATGTGTTTTGTTAGATTTGTACCAAAGTATTTCTCTTTTTTTTTGAGTGATTATAGGTGGTTTAAGGATCATCTCTTGAGACATAGTGGCCTCAAGCATAGACAAAACTATAAGCAAAGATGCAAAGAGAGAGATGGTGATATAAATTTCAAGTACTTCCCATGGGAGGGGTGGTGTGTTCTGGTGTCTGCTGCACTGGGTCTTCATTGTGGACGTGTATGCATAGGGTCATCAAAGTCTGAAACACTGGCATTCACATATTCAGCTAATTCTCTCCACCCACTTTATAATTCTAGATTGGTTCCCATGTAGATTGTCTACACAGGTTTTTCTACAGGTGAAGCTTATTGAAATATCCAGCCCACATCTCTACTTCTGTCCATTAGTTAATAAATTGGCCTTGTGATTATTCCTTTTTCTCTGTCTTCTTGGCAAATGATAACCTGCCTCTTGATCTATTTGTGATGAGCTGACAAAAATCAAATTCCCAGCTGAGGACTAAGTTCAGGGACATGATCAGTTAGCCAATGTGACTGTCAACTGGTGAGAGGTCGTACTTTGCTGAGAACCCCCAAATGTTGCCACATACCCTTCTTCAATCTATAAAAGTATTAAAACTATAAATTGAAATGATAGTTGCACAAATACTAAAAAAATAATAGAAGATGTTAAATATTTTTCATTTGGCTATTGATAATTGAATTAGTTCAATATAACATAATTGTATTAGGTTGATAACTTCCCCTTCCTCTTCTTATAATTTAAAAAGTATCTGGGGAAGAGAAGTCATCATGTGCAGAAATGCCACGGTATTTATTCTTTATTTGCAAAGAACATATTGGAATATATGAAAATTTCATGTTCTTTTTAGTGTTTAGAAGTGACTAAATTTATAAACCGTCGTTGAAATGTTATTCTTTTCAGTTTTCAGAAGAAAATGCAGATAAAATGAAGAAAATATATGGAGAATTCTGTAGCCATCACAAAGAAGCTGTTAGACTCTTTAAAGAACTCCAGCAGAATAAGAAGTTTCAGAATTTTATTAAGGCAAGTATTTTAAAACTCTATTACAAAGTGGTAGACCAGCACGGGGAAGTAGTTTATGCTTTTTCTTCAATGATCTAACCACGTTTCACATCTAAGTACTGTTTTTCAGGGGAAGAAGGAAGTGATAGTTTTGCGGTAAAGATTTAAAGTCTCTTTTTCTGTGTTAGTAAAGTATTTCTCCCAAATCATTTCCTTTTGTAGCTTATATTTGTGGCATTTCCTTTTGTAGCTTATATTTGTGGAGTCGTGTCCTCCAAGCTCCTGGGTACCTTTGTAATCTTCTGTAAAGCTGTTTCAACCACAATAAAAATAAAGACAGAATTCCCCCCACCCCCACTGGATTAGTTTGAAGCAAGTCCATGACACACATCATTTCATATGTAATAGGTATCTCTAAACAATATATCTTAAGAAAACTACAATGACGTTATCACACTTAAATAAATTAACAATAATTCTTTAATATCTTTAAACAGCTGACCAGTATTCAAATTTCCCTGATTATCTCATATAATTGGATTGCTGAAATCAGGATCTGACCATGGTTCACATTATTGTGTATGGGGGTTATATCTTTTAAATGGCTTTTAAATTGAGTGCTCCCCATCCCTTTTTTTGGTGTCCAATTTATTTGTTGAAGAAATTCAAACTTTAGAGTTTCATGGATTCTAAATTTTTATCTACCATTATAAGAATGCTACCAGATTCCCTTCCTTTTTTTCCCCCATGTACCTATGTATTGAAAACTTGAAACTTAAAGAATACTTTGAGATTTTTTTAAAAAGTTACCCTGATTAGAGGAAACTTTAAGTACTGTGGTGAATAATAACAAATATAAAGGAAGACCTGTTGGGAAAACAAAGAGTTAATTGCAAACTCATATTGAAAATCTAACTTTGATTTCTGAGTATTTTTCAAAACTTTTGCTATTCATGAATCTTAGCACTTATAACTATTGGAACTTGCTCACTTTTGGAATTAACTACAAAGACATCAGTAACTTGAAACTTATTGAAATCTTGGAGAGTTGGGTTATTGACATTAATGACGAAGTATACAATTTAATGACAATGTATCGAGTTTTAATTAATGATAATGCATGTTATGTTATATCTGAGTAGAATTATACTGTTGCAAATTCTTTGTATTATTAAATTCACACCTAAAAAGAAAATACAAGTAGAGTTTGTGTATATAAAAATGTGTATGTATATATATTTTAAGCTCCGAAATAGTAATCTTTTGGCTCGGCGCCGAGGAATTCCAGAATGCATTCTCCTGGTCACTCAGCGCATTACAAAATACCCTGTCTTGGTGGAAAGGATATTGCAGTACACAAAGGGTGAGTGACGACTTCTGGGACAAGCATTTGCCTCTTTCATCAGTTTTAAACATATCTGAGTTGTCGTAAACAGTTATAAATGCTTGTGGCCTCTGATTCATGAAGACCTGTCATTGTGGAAAAGCTGTTAAAGCCTTAGGATTTGGATCCATTTTGAAAGTTATCTTTTATAATGCAGCTTGGCCAACAGTCAGAATTCCTTCAAGCAGCCCAAACCAAGGCTCCCTCATACTTTGACCCTGCCTTTTCCTTCTACATTTTCCCCATATCTAGACTTCCTTAATACCTCTGCTTCCTCATCTTCCTATTACCTTCTGAGCATATGATGAAACATCTGCGATTGATCCTGTCACCAAACGTCAGCTCTGCCAAGCAATGAATTATTAGGTTGAGAGTGATTTTTGAAGGAGCTGTTTTTGACCCTGTCAGTTCATCAAGTTCCAGGGAGTAACATCTGGGCATCCTTTCAGAAACTGTTAATGCTGTGGTTGTCTGTAAGCTCCTTGAGGGATCTCGAAGGCCTGTATCTGTCTGGTTCACAACTGGATCTTCAGTGCTTAGTGCAGTGGCTGGTACAGAATAGGGTATCAATGAATGCACACGTATCAGTTCAGTAAATGAATAAATAAAATGCCTGTTCCCCAAGCTAGCTTATTGATCTTGAGTAAATCATCATGAGGGTGGCAGCGTGTTACGATAGCAAGGGCTTGGGTTTGGGATGGTGTAAACTTGCGTTGCCATTGCATAGACTCGGCTCTGCTGCTCATTAGGTGGGCAAGTCAACTAAAGGAGCCTCAGTCTTCTCCACTACCAAATGAGAATAATAATCCTTAGCTTACGGAATTGTTGTGAGGATTGAATGAGATTGTCTCAGAAAGCGCCTGTTGCAGGGCCTGGTATAAACAAGGTCCTCCATGAGTGGGAGCTGCTTCTATTACCTTTCTTATCATCAGTTGACTTGAAAATAATGAAAATGGTCATGAGATCTTAAATGCTCACTCTAAAAAAGTTGGCGTAGCGGTTAAGTGTGTGCACTCTGCTGCGGTGGCCCGAGGGTTGGCAGGTTCGTATCCCGGGCGCACGCCGACGCACTGCTTGTCAAGCCATGCTGTGGCGATGTCCCCTATAAAGTGGAGGAAGATGGGCATGGATGTTAGCCCAGGGCCAGTCTTCCTCAGCAAAAAAAGAGGAGGAGGGGCAGATGTTAGCACAGGGCTGATCTTCCTCACAAAAAAAATAAAAAAAATAAAAAAGTCAACTTCTAACATCCTTTTTTTGAAAGGGGTTTAGGTGAGTAGAAATGCATGATTTAATCTTTCTGTTTGTTCAGTCACATTAGGAACTAAGTTCAGGTGGAAATAGTAGCATCTATTTCTTGTGTCACATTTTTATTACTCCCTATAATTTAACATAGAAGAAAAGACAAGCACAACATAAAGAGGAAAGCCTCATAAATTTTGTTCTCAGCAAAAGAATGAAAGCAAAATTAAGGCTTTCAGTTTGTATTATGTTCATATTCCCTTTCTTAAGTTTAATATAGTACCTTAAAGACTAAAATCTGTCCGATTTTGTTGGGTCAGCTGGTGGTACTCCAAGGATCATCCATGCCAAACGGCGGGTAGAATGAATAGCAAAGATGGCCTCCTGTGTGTCAGAAATGCTAAGTAGGACCTACGGCTCCTCAGGCATAGCTGTCATGGTAGCCAAATGGACTCTGCCTCCTTAGGTCAGACCTTACCAACCGTCAGTTCTCTCCCTCCCTGGCTCCCCGGAGCACTGGTCCCTGTGACTCTGTGGCGGGGCTTCTCCAGCTTGGTTAGGTGTGCCCTTCCGCTGGGGATCTTGTTTACATGCAGACTCGGCGTCAGTAGGTCTGAGGTGGAGCCCAAGGTGAGACTCCCAGGTGAGGCCAATGCTGCTGCACTTTGAGTGATTTGTCCCTGAAGAGCAAAGACTGTGAGCCTTTTCTTGGTCTTACCCCAAGTCACCTTGTCCCTCAACTTTGATTTTCTCTACTATGCTCTTTAAAAAGAAGAACCATTTTGGGGGATGGGCGCTGCTTGGTGTGATAAAGTAGTCAGGTGTATTCTTAGGCAGTGGGAAAGAAAGTACCTTCCTTGTTGAAGGTGGGTATCAGGATCTGTTGCTTGAGGTGCTCTGACAAAACCCTCATGTCTCTGCGTGAGATACTTACGTTTAGACCCTGCGGAGGAGTTGCTCTCATTCCACCTGACTGCCGTTTTTGCTGCTCCAGGCGCTAGGAAACCTTTTATTGTCTCTTCTCCTCCCGTTCCAGCACCTTCTGGCCTCCTGCAAGTTTCCCTTTCAGTTCCGTTCACCTCAGTAAACATCAACTAGGTATTTTTTATCCTTAAGTATAGACAATAGCTAAATTCAGTTTCATCTGGAGTTTCAGGAGGCTGTTCCAGAAACTCCTCTAGAGTTTTTCTTAAGATAATCTAGAGACGAGAGCAGGTGGTCAGTGTTTTAAAGACTAACACCCAGAATTGACGGTCGTCTGCTCTGTTGGCATGAGCATGGCTGACGTACCCACTAGGCAGAGTGCCTTGGTCCCATTTTTTAGGTTGAAAAAGTGTTTCAATATGTAATGTTCATATATTCATCTTTATGCTAATGCAGCTATAAAATATTTTGAATATTTTTATGGAGGAAGGGGTCCAGGAAGGCACACGAGTCTGGGGCACATTCAAGTCACCCTGCAGCTCTGTTTTATGAAAGAATGCTGACTTGGGCCTGCGGCTCAGCTAAGTTCAGAGAAACTGATGTTGGGATTACTTGATTCTCTGTGTGCAGGAAGGTGAAAGGAAGGCCTACGTTAGTGTCTAACACCTTCCCTGCCCTGGGGGGAAGGTCAGACCAGTCCCTGGAAATCACACATCTTGTTTTCAGTGTTTCAGCTGAAGCACATCTGATAAGTAAATCTTTTATATTTAAATATTTTAATGGTTATTTTTGGGAAGAGGGGTGCAAAGTGATAATACTGTATTTGAATTTAATCCAACATTTTTGTTATGGGATTTTTGCTATTTGGATGATACATTTAACTGTATTTTTAAAAAGTATTCCTTAGCGCTCGGACTTATCGTATAGGGGTTTTCTTTCTTTTTCCCACGCAGAAAGAACTGAAGAACATCAAGACTTATGCAAAGCCCTTTGCTTAATTAAAGACATGATTGCAGCAGTGGATTTAAAAGTCAGCGAATATGAGAAAAACCAAAAATGGCTTGAGATCCTAAGTAAGATCGAAAACAAAACGTACACAAAGCTCAAGAACGGTCATGTGTTTCGGAAGCAGGCGCTACTGAGCGAGGAAAGGACGCTGCTCCACGACGGCCTCGTGTACTGGAAAACAGCCACTGGCCGCTTCAAAGGTACCGGGCCTCGCAGGCCAGTCTCTCCTCCTCTCACATGTTACTCGCTTATCAGAGGACAGATGTTCAGAAGAAAAATGGTTCAGAGGTACAGGCGCACACACAAACTCTGGGTCAGTGGAAAGATTCCCCCAGGATCTAGTTGGGAATTCCAACAGGCAAATGTGGCCTGTGCTACAAACCTTTGGTGGGAGTTTGCTGAAAGCCTTCACATATATTTTATGAATTTACAAGTTTGTGATGTTTGAATCGAAGGAACTGAGAATTCTGCTAGTTGTTGACACAGAAATATTATTCTGGCAAATGTGATGTGTTGAAAGTGAGGTGGTACACCTGGAGTCTGTTGTGTGCCAACCCAGCCCAGGCTGTCAGACCATTGAGGGGAGAAATGAGCGCTGAATGTCATCTTTGTTCCTGAGTAATATAAGTTAATATACACGTGCATAAATAAACACGTTGACGTTGGTGGAAACTCTTCCTCAGTGTTACCATCTGATAAGGGGCATTAACTTGACTCTGTTAATCTGGTTAGAGTCTAAAACATTTCATTCAGATTCTTATAGGGCTGATTCTGTAGCTAGCACCTTGCCTGATCCAAGCTTTCTCAACCCTGGCCACACACTAGAATCACCTCTGGAGCTTAAAAAAGTTACCGATACTCTAGTCTCCTCCCAGAGATTCTGATTTTATTGGTCTGGGGATGAAGCCCAAGTGTAGGGATGCTTACATCTCCCAGGTGATTGTGCAGCCAGGGTGAAGAACCACTGGTCGGCTCTCCTTGTTTTTAATATTTCATCTTATTAGCTTTCGTAGGTAAGCAATGAAAGGTAGAGGTAGTTAAATGCCAATTACTCGAGGTTATTACCCATTGGAGGATTATTGAGTTTTGGTGGTGGTTGCAACTAGTGACTGAAATAGGATTTGTTGATCAGCAACTTGCAACGTTGCGACTAAACGGTAACCACAATTAGACTGTTAACCAAACTAAAATATTAACCCCAATCTGTAGATCCTGTTGCTCCAAGTTGTTTGCTCCTTATCCATTTCATAGAATCAACAATTTGGTAACTTTGAGAGTGTTTAGTGGTAGAGTGAAGATGGGTTCTTGTGAACAATTTGAAAGGGAAGTACAGGAACTCTAATTCCCTCAGATGTAGATGGAACAAAATAGCGTAATGCAAGGTAGAAGCTGCCCTCTAACAGTTTTAGTTAAGTAATATTTTCCCCCTAAAGATAAGGGCTTCATTCTGTTAGAACTTCCTTTTTTATTGGATTTTTTTTTTCTGTTTTGAAAGCTACAACATTAAATTTTGCTGGAGATTTAGCTAGACCTATAGTTATACAAACATGCACACTTAGTAGATAAGCTATGTTTATCTATAAAATATATCTTTGTCTATCATGATATGGGCATTTTTATAAAAGTTTCATAATTAGACTAAATCTTAGTTTTTTAATTTTTAATAAATTTATTTAAATTTCTAACTTGAAATCAGAATATTTAGTTTTAACTGTGGTTTGCTTCATTAATACCAGCAATGTTTTTTCTTTGAAGATATCCTAGCTCTACTTCTAACTGATGTGCTGCTGTTTTTACAAGAAAAAGACCAGAAATACATCTTTGCAGCTGTTGTAAGTATATGGCCATCTGATGCATATTTTAAATGGTTTAATCCCACATCTCCTTGAAAAATGCCCAATATTCCTAGTGACGTTAAATAGTCATTGGCAAGAATATGCCCCTGTTATGTTCTCTTTATGGTTAGTGATTGCACTGTTCAAGAACAAGCATCTAATTGGGTTTAACTAGCATGATAAGTGTTGAGTTATCACAACCAGGGCAGGTAGTCATCTGGTTCAGCAATTTGACCCATTGTAAAAATATTGAAGTGCTTTGGTATTGGTTGGTGAATAGGCACTGCCTTAAGCCCCCTCTGCCGCCTGGCTATCTTGGGCTTTCCCCTAGACTCCCTTCCCCCTCACTTCCCAGCAGCTCAGATGTTAATGCTGGGAGCAGCAGGCCACTTCTGGCAGCCTGCTCTCTTTTCCCATTGGTGGGTGCCTGCTGTGCCTGTTGCTAATCCCACTCATGACTGTCATGATGGTCCTTCTGGCAGACGAGAACACCCTCCTGCTATCTCAAATTTAAAGAAGATTTTCTCTTATTTCTGCTCTAATGGCTACTAATTACTAAGGTTATTCATATAACACTTATCTTTATAGTGTGTTATTAATCTCATTGCCAGCACAGAGTTAGACTTAGACTAGCAGTAAAACTAGTATTTTATAACATTTTTGACATAGCATCTTGTGGTCCAAAATGACACAGTTAAAGAAGGAAGATGTCATCAATGAACTCCTTGCCAGCATCATGGAGCATCAGACCCTGCTAGAGGAAAGAATGTAAGATGCAGTACCAATGTGGACAGTGTGATGGTGGCTCTCTAAAATGCTAGTGTTTATCATCCATTGACTGATAAGATATTCAGGTGCCATTAGCAAATATCAATTCCAGCTGGTTTTAGCAAATTCAAAGCTTAATGAATTTCCCGTTGTGCTGTTCAGAGAAAACAAAGAAGCCTGTCTGCCCAGGGATGGGTTCTGGGGATGGGGAGGCTGGAGCGGTGCCTCACCTGCCTGTCTGTGCCTGTCTGGTTGGCCCGGTAGGCTTCTCACCCTGTTCAGCACGTTGCCTCTCATCAGCATAATGAGGCCAAGTGTATAAAGGTCAGAGATTCTTGCACAAAGCTACACCAGAGGGTAACAAGAGGCCTTAAACAAGTCCCCATGTCCCTGATCCACTTGAACTGTATATACTGCACATTTTATGACAAACTACTGATTTGCCAGCACCCTCTTTCTGCTGTTACCTGGGATGCTCTGAAAGCACACAGAGTAAATAAGTGGGCGGGGGGACCATTTTGTTTGACCTGTGGGATGGTAAGGGCCATGCTGGAAGAGAAAACAAATTTATACCACATCTCTATAGAAACAAAGGTTTCTTCAAAACCAAAAACTTGAAGGAGAAGCAAATCCTGCTTGTTGGATGGTATTATAGGCCAAACGACCAGCTGATGGATCAAGAATTAGACATAACATAAAGACAACTATCTTGTTTTCTAGCACAACATAGCATATGGATTCAGATCATACTGTGATGCTCAACGTACAGTATGACTTGAAATGTGGATCTGTCCCTCTTATCTGACTTCTTGAAGAGTTACCTGTGCCACCCATAGACCACATTTACCATTAAATGGGGCGTTAGGAATGCCATCCACCAAATGCCAGAATGAAGGCAGCCACGACTTAGCTCCTCTCAGTAGAATGTGTTTGTCTACAGACAGTAGAAAGACGATACTGATACAGTTTCCTAAAGATGTTAGTGTGACATGTAGCTACATTTATAAAAGCCAGCCAAGCCCTTGTCAATGTCAGGGAGCAAAAGAGAAAGCATTCTCCTGAAAGACTCAAGTGCACCCTATAAGTTCAGTCATATGCTTTCTAGTTGACATAACCTGTGTGTCATAAAGATCTCAGAGTTAACATCTTGAGGGAATTGATGCACTAGCTGGGTGCATACAAATATCTGGATTTCCTTGTTCTCACCGTAGTATTTTAGAAAGTTATCTTCACAGTAATATCCACAGGGGAGATTCTCTGTCCCTTGAGCTGTTAGAAAAACTTCTTTAGTAAGTGCTTAACTTGCTACATGTTACAGAAGACATGATGAATTTGGAAATGGCCAGAAGATAAGCAACTGAAAGTAGCAAGAGGATGGAGTAGCTTTCTTAGAGGAGAATTTTGTTTTTAAAGAAGACTCAGATGGAAATGGGAGTTGGACCCAAATCTGTGAAATGAATAGAGAAAAGTAGATGCGTTCACTAAATCCTGGAATACTGAGTCTAGGAGATTCTCTTGAATATCAAAGAAGGTAATTTCAAAATGAATGAGCAATAAAACAGACAAGTGAACGTGTAGATGTGTAAGTATAAGCTCAAAATATGAGGCGACCTTAAGATCTTGTTATCACAGGGGGATCCTGAATGGACTTACTCACTGATGGAATCAGCCACTTTATAGAATCACAAACAGATATGGGGTAACAATGGGGCTGAAAGGAGCAGCTCCTTTTCCCCTTCCCCTGTGGTGGAGGTCGTCAACTACAGTGCTTACAGGGATTGGGCAAGAAATGTAAATGGGTTAACTAGACCGGGCTTGGTATCAAGGAGCTGATAGAATGGTAACTGTAGAGAACTGGTAAGTACGTGCCCCCTCTCAAAGAGGGCAAGGACCACTCAGCTATAGCTAGTGTTTTTAAATGAGGATATGGGCCCAGCATTGCCAATCTTCTGCTTTTCCCAAGTACCCAGAAATCTAGAATTTTTTAAAAAAGTGAAATCGCCCAGTTTTTAAATGTTGGCAACTATTCCAAAAAACTGTTTTTTAAATTGCACAAACAAGACATCTCTGCAGGCTGGGTTGGGTCTTTGCATCACTAGTTTTGACATCTGTCTCCAAAGCAGACATGTTACCTCTATTCCTAGAGATGTAATTTGGATTCTTGTGCATCTCTGGTGTTCATGTGTGATTCAGATGAGTAATGATGGACATGTCCCTGATGCCTCCTGGTCTGGTGGTGATTTAATTAACGCTACTTTCTACCCACTTACCTATTTTTCACTTTTAAACTATCTGACCCCACCAGCTTCCCTCCTCTCCACAGTCACGCTAATCAACTAGTTCAAATAATTTTACTCTTGCTGATGTCTTAAGCAATTCACATCTACTCTGCCTCCTTGTATACAGAGGCCTTTTATTATGTAAGCTGAGGATGCTAAAACTGCATGGAAAGAAGGAGAGCAGACAAGGTCTTAGATACTAGGTCTGTAACTGAATGAAGGATATGAACAGCGCCCAGGGGCTCTCCCTAATTAGGGAAGACAGTGTTCAAAAGGCCCTGCCAACAGCTGCTTCTGCTTCGTTTGCAGAGGCGGAGGCGGAGCACAGGACTTGGGCAGACCTAGACCCTTATGGCGTGTGTGTATAAAAATATTTTCCGTTCAAGGAAGAATGGAATGGGGACTGGCCCGATGGCGTAGTGGTTAAGTTTGCGTGCTCCGCTTTGGCGGCCCAGGGTTCACAGGTTCGGATCCTGGGTGTGCACCTACGCACAGCTTATCAAGCCGTGCTGTGGCAGCGTCCCACATACAAACTGGAGGAAGATGGGCACAGATGTTAGCTCAGGCCTAATCCTCCTCAGCAAAAAGAGGAAGATTATCAGTGGATGTTAGTTCAGGACCAATCTTCCTTGCCAAAAAAAAAAAAAAAAGAAATGGGAAGAAGAGGTATTCTGGGTACACCCTTGCAGACAACTTCAGAGGTGGTAGAACTGTGTGATGCTGGGAAAGCAGACGAGTCAGCACTGAGGAGTCAGTGGTGAGGATGGAGTGCCATGTTCTGGATAAAGGCGTCGCTCAGTCCATGGGGGAGAAGCAAAACCACATACTGTAACCGACTCAGTAAACAGTGGTGGGAGCCGCAAACCAAAGAAGATTCTTCACATTTTCCCCCAAAACTGTTCCTCCTGCAGGCGTTCTTTTGGCTGTTCTTTCAACTGCAGCTTCCCACCCAAATTAGTATTATCAGTGTCTTCTTCTTCATCTTTGAATCCCCAGTACTTAGGATGGGACATCAAAGGATAATGTTGGTGGAAGAAGTGATTTAATCATGCCTTGCATGCCAAATCTTAGACTTTCTTCCTATTTTCCTCTGATGGAATTATGCTAAATCTACTTCTACAGACATTTATTGAGTGCCTACTCTATGCTAAGCACTGTGCTAGGCTTACAAAGAGGAGTTAGATCCGTTCCTGCCCACCAGGTGCTCACCTGGTTGGCAGGAAGAAGAGGCATCTGCAGGCAGGACTGTAGAAGTTATGTTGCTGTGTTCTGCACTACAACAGCAGAACACAATGGTTATGCCTGGGAATCTTGCCTCCTCATTCTTACCTTTTATTTTACAGTCCACCCCATTGGTACTGCTAAATCCAATGGACTCTCTAGGTCTTCTGTCCCTCTCAGTCTCTTTGTAATATTTGATATATGATTTCCTATCCCATACCTTTAGAAAAATCCCTCCACCCCTGACTACGGCATTTTGGCATTTTGATATTTTTTCTTAGCACTCTGATTGTTCTGTCTTTTTAAAAGTTGTCCCTTTAAACCACCAGTTCTTAAAGACAAATGTCTTCCTTGATCCTCTCTATCCTCTCTTTACCATACTCTTTCCATTGGAGAGCTTTTCAGCTCACACAGCTCTTTAGAAAAGGTTGAAGTGAAATAGATTTGCCTAATACTGTTGCTTTCCTCAGCTAATGTGTGTTGTGAGACCCTTCCTTTCGGTAGGACGCTGTTTCATTTGCACATCCTCCTATGTTACGTAGGATCAGAAGCCATCGGTTATTTCCCTTCAGAAACTTATCGCTAGAGAAGTTGCGAATGAGGAGAGAGGAATGTTTCTGATCAGTGCTTCATCTGCTGGTCCTGAAATGTATGAAATTCATACCAATTCCAAGGAGGAACGAAATAACTGGATGAGACGGATCCAACAGGCAGTAGAAAGGTAATGTTTCCTTCTGTCCGTAATCTCGGGAATGGATTTGTTCACTTGGGGGAAATACTCTAACACGTCTCACCTGCGTGAACACTTTTGCCTCAGCCAGAATGGTCTGCTCCCCGCCCCTCGCACCCACCTGCGATAGCCCCTCATCTGCAGCTTTGTTCTCCACACCTCCCTGCGTGCAATGCCCCACCTCCCCTCTGCCTGTGTGAATCCTGCCCATCTCTGGGGCAGCTTATGGCTCACCTGCATGAAGACCTCTTCAGTTCCCGTGGTCTCTTCCTTACCTGAAATCTTTAACACCTGCTCCCTAAAGCGTTTATTTGGTGCTTGTCGTATCCTGCCTTGTAGCTATTCTCTTTTTCCATGTATATATGTTTGTTTATTAGACTGGAAGCTCCTTGAGGGCAGGGACCATGTCTTATGTTTGTCTGTGCACCTAATTCTGAAGAATCATTCAATAAACGTTTTTAGGTTGGTGGATCTAAGTGTTCTAAGTCAATTTGCTCCTCTCTACTTGTACAAGGACAGTTTTTATAGACGGGAGTGTGAGGGTGGGGTGATCATTCTTAAGGTAATGTGATCAGTTAGATCTTGAGTGACATTGTAGAATTCCTCCACCTCCACTGCACCCACCCCACCTGGTGCCCTGCCTGCGTCCCCTCCAACCCCTCTGCTCTGCCCCCGTTAAGGATAGAAGTGCCCTAACGTAGTAGAAAGCAAAAATTATTTTAGTTGTACCTAATGCTGGTGTGGGTATTGTGGGGTGTGAATGTGTGTACATGAGCATATGTTTGTGTATGTGTGTTTGTTGGAATATTTGAGTCATCCTGCACTCCTGACTTTGAGAGCTATGTTACATTATACAAAGTTCTTTATATACTCCAGAAAACCAAATCTCTTGGCTAGGGGGCACGATGAATTTTCTTCATACTGAATTTTTCTCCTCTGAATAATTCTACTGCCAAGTCCCCATGTTTTTCCAGTGAGCCTAAAGATAGTTGGATTTGGCTTCAGTTGTGTCTCTTGACTGTTGTCTTTTAAAGTTGCCCAGAGGAGGAAGGAGGAAGGACAAGCGACTCTGATGAAGAGAAGCGGAAAGCTGAAGCACGCGTGGCCAGGATTCAGCACTGCCAAGGTACAGGGCGCGCTCTGCTGGTTCCTGGCCGTGGTCCTCTCGGGAGGCTGGGGAGCCCAGATGTCCTGCAAGGGAGGTTGTGACTGAACCGTGAATCTAGTTCTGTGTACCCGAGGCCCACCCTGACCACCACTCCACCAAAAAGTAGAAGCACTTGAAGTGCTCAAATCGGATGACTCTTGCCCTCCTTCCTCCTTAGTGATTAAAAACGTAAAAATATTCCGCACATAACATCTGTGAAACAGTAACCATGGGTAGTGTGGGAACTGCTGTCCAGTGGTTTGACGTCCCAGCACTGGCAGGTCGTAGTTGTATGACTCAGAACAAGGACCCAACAGCTCTGGTCCTCAGTTTCCAAATCTGCAAAATAAGGAAATGAGGTTAGCTCTGTGCTTCTCATCTCTGGCTGGGCGTTAGAATCACTCAGGGAGGTCTTTAAAAATTCTGATGCCTGCCCCCCCCCCCACCAGTTCACTTGGCATCTGTGGGGGTGGGGGGGTCAGATGTCAGTGTTTAAACTCTCCCCAGCGGATTCTGAGGCAGAAAGGACTGAGGACCCCTGGATCAGATGCTGGGTAAGGTCCCTTTAAGCTCTAAGAATCCTAGGGCACATTGACATCAGAGGAAAATGATGCAGGCGAAGATGGTTGAAGGAACTGGATGTTTAGAAACAGCGTCAACCAGTGTGTTGCTTTGATGGAGGGCGGCCGCAGCCCCGGGAGGTTCTGGCTTTTGCGTTGTTTCTCTCACCGGTCTTGCTCGTCACGGACCATGCCCCACCCCAGTTTTCATTCCTGAGCGTAATGTTTAGTCTTAATGGGAAGCAGCCTGAATAAACAAAGATTGCCTCTGCAAGTTTTTCTGGAATTAGGGGAATGGGAAAGGAATTGAACGTTTATTGAGTATGATAAACTTACAGAAAAGACAATGGAAGCTCAGAGTTAAGTCCTTTGCTGGAGGGACAGTTGCTAAGTGGAAGGTTAGGATTTGAAGCTGGGTCTGTCCCACCCGACAGCCTGTGCTTTACCTGTCAGACCATGCTGCTGGCCAGTGAGTCACATCTTTATCTTAAGCTTGGATTTTCGTATTAGTTCTTGTATTCATGTGATAGCCTTCTCTGGTAAATACTGTTTCATAGAAATACTCAGTAACCAAGACCAGCAAATTTGCACGTATTTGGAGGAAAAGCTGAGTATCTATGCTGAACTTGGACAGCTGAGTGGATTTGAGGACGTCCGTCTGGAGCCCCACCTCCTCATTAAACCCGACCCCGGGGAGCCACCCCAGGCGGCCTCGTTACTGGCAGCAGCCGTGAAAGAAGGTAAGACGCTTCCAAAAGGCTTTGGTTCGACAAATTCAGAAAACGTTTATTGAGTACCTACTGTGTGCCCAGGCACTGTGGTCTTGGTGCTGAGGACACAGCAGAATAAGACAAATCTGACTCTCCTGGAATTTGTATTCCAGAAGCAGCAAAATAGAAGGAAATAAATACATCAGGTTGTGTCAAGTGCTATGAAGAATAAGCGGGTGAGAAGGGTGGAGAGTGGTGGAGTTGGGAGCCTCTATTTTAGATAGGGTGCCCAGGAATGGCCTCTTCAATGTGATGTGAAGGCACACACGAAAAAAGTGAGAAGGCCAAGTAGATATCTGGGAAAAGCATGTTCCAGACAGAGGAAACAGCAGGTGCAAAGGCCCTGAGGCAGGTAAGTGCCAGGTTTGTTTGAGGAGCAACTAGGAGGACAGAGCAGGTGCAGTGAAGTGAGGGGCGGGGAGTGGCAGGAGATGAGTCAGAGTTCTCGAGGACTCAGGTTACATGGATGAGATAAGGACTTTGAATTTCCTTCTGAGTGAGATGAGAGGCATTACAGAGTTGTGAGTAGAGGAGTGACTTGATTTGTGTTTTAAAAGGCGCCCTCTGACTGCTGTGTGGAGAAGAGCCAAGTCTAGGGATAACCCTGGGAGCTGGGGGCTGAGGAGGGGCAGAGGACAGGGTCACTGGAGGTGAGAAAGTCAGGAGACAGACGCCAGGCTGTTGGGAGGTCTGTGTTCCTAGAACTGGAATCGCTGAGAACTTTCACAGTAGCACTGGCGAGGGGAGAACCGAATTGTCAAGGGGTCTGTAGATAACAGCGGCAGGGAAGGCAGTGAGAGCCGTAACCTGATGGCGCGAACTTCAGGGGAAGAAGGGCCTTAAGAGGGGGAATGGGGCTGACGGTCTGGAGGAGACCACAAGGACAGAGGGTTTGGGAGATAACAGCCACCACCTGAGAGCGTGGCAGGGGGCGCTGTGGATCAGAACAGGGGTTGGTAGATTACAGACCACGCTTGGAATGCGTCCCGCAGCCTGTTTCTGTAAATGTGGTTTTATTGGAACCCAGCCACACCCATCCTTTTACATAACATCTCTGATATCTCTGGCTGCTTTCTTGCTACAATGGCAGACATGAATAGTTGCAGCAGAGACCTTATGGCCCACAAAGCCTAAAATATTTACTCTCTGGTCCTTAGGAGAAAAAGTTTGCCAAGCTCTGGCTTAGTATCTCGGACCATTAGCTCTGGAGGAGAATTTAGGAATCGTGGAATCTCTCATCTTTATTTCACAGTTGAGGAAACTGAGGTCTTAAGAAGGGCATAGAGCTTGTCTGCAGGGTGGTCCACTGATGGATTCATTCATTCGTTCATCAAATATTCATTGAGTATGTACCGTGTGCACTGTTGTTGGTGCTGAGGAAGCAGAAATGCTTTCATGAAAACTTCTGGTGGGAAAGATGGACGGTACACAAGGAAGCAAGAACATCTCCGAAAGTCACCAGAAAATAAGATAATGGGGTTGGGATGAGGTGAAGGCTTTGCTTTAGAGAGGTCAGGGAAGACCTCTCCAAGGAGATTATTTTTTGAGATGAGACTTGAAAGATGAGAAGCAGCCAGCCATCTGGAGGTCTGGAAAGGACCATTCCTGGACAGAGAGAGAGCGAGTGCAGAGCCCCTGCGTCTGGAATGAGCTTGGCGTCTCCAAGGAGAGAAGGTAGGCCAGGCTGGCAGGAGGCAGGGGAGACTGCCACAGGGTAGGCGGGGACCGGATCTTTGTAGGCCGTGGTTAAGAAAAAAATGATAATAATTTTATTCCAAAATTGATGGAAAGTGATGGAAGCTTTTCCATCTTAAGGAATAAGGCATAATCTTATTTCTGTCTGGAAAAGAGTGCTGGCTGCTGAATGGAGAACAGATCGGAAGGAGACTAGTTTGCCTGGAGACTGTTGGGAAGCAATTACAGAAGCCGAGAGGAGATGTTCGAGCCTTGGTCTAGAGCAGGACTGCGGGCAGTGGGAGTAGAGAGAAGTGGACAGATGCAAGACCTATTTTAGAAACAAAGCTCAAAGGACTTTCAAACAGGTTGACAGGAACCGGTGACCCTGTCATTATCCTTGGTAACGTCTTTATTGAATAAGTCACCCACTCTCAATTTTGGCCAGTGGCTTTCACTTTCTCCCCCACCAAAACTGTCACTGAAGCCCTGTTTTCAGTCGATGTGTTTTATTTTCTCTGGGCCACCATGTGACGGGGTGCGGGGTGCTGGGGGCAGCGGTGGACCCAGCCTCTCTGAGAACCCAGAGCACTTGAAGTCCTGCCCGAGCCGCAGGTGGGATGATCCACCCTGGTCATTGAAGACGGCGAGGCTAGCAGGCATTCTAATCAGGGTGAGGTAGTTATCTTCGGGGGAGAGACAGTTTAGTAACGCCCCTGGAATCGTCTGCCGAGGTCTTGGCTCCACTGCACTGCTTTTCTGCCCTCCTCATCCTCTTCTGTCTCTGCCTCTACCTCAGAACTCAAGGTTCTGCTCAGTTTTCATCTCCTTTAAGAACCTTTTCCTAATCCTGCGGGCTAATGTAACGCTCCTGCTACTCTGCGGTGCTACTGGAGCATTTTATATGCTCTCACACCTCGATGACAGAACTTGGCACTGATCACGCGCTACCTTGTTAGCACAGTTAGTTGTGTGCATCTCTTTTCCTCCTCTGATCTGCAGACTCTCCTTATTAGTCATCAGATGACCAGTGGTCACCAGAACACAGCAGGTGCTCAATGAGTATTTGCTGAATTGAATCATTGGATGGAGGGTTTCAGAAATATTTGTAGGGTCCTCAAAATTATACTATTCCATGTGCTAGTTGAAAACCTTTTGTTGTAAATAAAAACTTGACTTTCTTGGTGTGAAAAGTGAAAGTGAACTTCACTTTCTTTTCCCAGTCTCACCAGATCCTAAGAGCAGCCTTCAGTGCTGGTTAAAAATGCAAATCCTTTGTTTTCTTCCCCGGAGAATCTGAACAGTAGGTCTAGGGTGAGGACTGGGAATCTGTATTTTTTTAAAATTTTGTACACATGTGCCCCTTCACCCCTTTCACCCACCCCCCACCCCCTTCCCCTCTGGTAACCACTAATCTGTTCTCTTGATCCATGTGTTTGTTTATCTTCCGCATACGAGTGAAATCATACAGTGTTTGTCTTTCTCGGTCTGGCTTATTTCGCTTAACATAATATCCTCAAGGTCCATCCACATTGTTGCAAATGGGATGATTTTGTCATTTTATGGCTGAGTAGTATTCCATTGTATATATACCACATCTTCTTTATCCACTCATCAGTCGCTGGGCAGTTGTGTTGCTTCCGTGTCTTGGCTATTGTGAATAACGCTGCAATGAACTCAGGGGTGCATGAATCTCCTTGTATTGTTGATTTCATGTTCTTTTGATAAATACCCAGTAGTGGGATAACTGGGTCGTATGGTATTTCTCTTTTTAATGTTTTGAGAAATCTCCATACTGTTTTCCATAGTGGCTGCACCAGTTTGCATTTCCACCAGAAGTATATGAGGGTTCCCTTTTCTCCACATCCTCTCCAACATTTGTTATTTTTTGTCTTGTTAATTATAGCCATTCTGACAGGTGTAAGGTGATATCTCATTGTAGTTTTGATTTGCATTTCCCTAATGATTAGTGATGTTGAACATCTTTTCATGTGCCTGTTGGCCATCTGCATATCTTCTTTGGAAACATGTCTGTTCATATCCCCTGCCCATTTTTTGATCAGGTTGTTTTTTTGTTATATGACTTCTTTATATATTTTGGAAATTAACCGCTTGTCAGATATAAGATTTGCAAATATTTTCTCTCAGTTGGTGGGTTGTCTTTTTGTTTTGTTCATGGTTTCCTTTGCTTGCAGAAATTTTTTAGTTTGATGTAGTCCCATTTGTTTATTTTTTCTTTTGTCTCCCTTGCCTGAGTAGACATGATATTTGAAAAGATGCTGCTAAGACCGATGTCAAAGAGTGTACTGCCTATCTTTTCTTCTAGGAGTTTTATGGTTTCAGGTCTTACATTCAAGTCTTGAATCCATTTTGAGTTAATTTTTGTGTATGGTGTAAGATAATAGTCTACTTTCATTCTTTTGCACATGGCTGTCCCGTTTTCCCAACACCATTTATTGAAGAGACTTTCCTTTCTCCATTGTACGTGCTTGGCTCCTTTGTTGAAGATTAGCTGTCCATAGATGTGTGGTTTTGTTTCTGGGCTCTCAGTTCTGTTCCATTGATCTGTGTCTGTTTTTGTACCAGTACCATGCTGTTTTGATTACTATTGCTTTGTAGTATATTTTGAAGTCAGGGATTGTGATGCCTCCAGCTTTGTTCTTTTTTCTCAGGATTGCTTTGGTTATTTGGAGTCTTTTGTTGTTCCATATAAATTTTAGGATTCTTTGTTCTACTTCTGTGAAGAATGTCATTGGGATTCTGATAGAGATTGCATTGAATCTTTAGATTGCTTTAGGTAATATGGACATTTTAACTATGTTTATTCTTCCAATCCATGAGCATGGAATATCTTTCTATTTCTTTCAATACTGTCTTATAGTTTTCATTGTATAGGTCTTCCACCTCGTTGGTTAAGTTTATCCCTAGATATTTATTTTTTGTTGCAATTGTATCTGGGATATCTTGAGTTCTCTTTCTGCTAGTTCATTATTAGTGTATAGAAATGCAACTGACTTTTGTAAGTTGATTTTGTACCCTGCAACTTCGCTGTAGTTGTTGATTATTTCTAATAGTTTTCTGGTGGATTCTTTGGGGTTTTCTATATACAGAATCATATCGTACGCAAACAGAGTTTTACTTCTTCCTTTCCAATTTGGATTCCTTTTATTTCTTTTTCTTGTCAAATTGCTCTGGCCAAAACCTCCAGTACTATGTTGAATAAGAATGGCGAAAATGGGCACACTTGTCTTGTTCCTGTTCTCAGAGGTATGGCTTTCCTTTTTTCACCATTAAGTGTGGTGTTGGCTGTGGGCTTGTCATATATGGCCTTTCTTATGTTGAGGTACTTTCCTTCTATACCTTTTATTGAAAGGTTTTATTGTAAATCGATATTGGATCTTGTCAAATGCTTTCTCTGCATCTATTGAGATGATCATGTGGTTTTTATTTCTTATTGTGTTAATGTGCTATATCACGTTGATTGATTTGCAGATGTTGAACCATCCCTGTGTCCCTGGTATCAATCTCACTTGATCCTGGTGTATGATCCTTTAAATGTATTGCTTTATTTAATTTGCTAATATTTTGTTGAGGATTTTTGCATCTATGTTCATCAGTGATATTGGCCTGTAATTTTCCTTCTTTGTGTTGTCCTTGTCTGGTTTTGGTATCAGGGTAGTGTTGGCCTCATAGAATGAGTTAGGAAGTATTCCACCTTCTTCAGTTTTTTGGAATAATTTGAGAAGGATAGGTATTAAATCTTCTTTGAATGTTTGATAGAATTCTCCAGAGAAGGCATCTGGTCCTGGACTTTTGTTTTTTGGGAGGTTTTTGATAACTGTTTCAATCTCTTGACTTGTGGTTGGTCTATTCACATTCTCTATTTCTTCTTGATTCAGTTTTGGGAGGTTGTGTAAGTCTGAGAATTTATCCATTTCTTCTAGGTTATCCCATTTGTTGGCATATAGTTTTTCATAGTATTCTCTTATAATCCTTTGTATTTCTGTGGTATCCACTGTAATTTCTCCTCTTTTACTTCTAATTTTATTTATATGAGCCTTCCTTCTTTTTTTCTTAGTGAGTCTGGCTGAGGGTTTGTCAATTTTATCTTCTTAAAGAACCAACTCTTAGTTTCATCGATCCTTTCTACTGTTGTTTTGGTTTCTATTTCATTTATTTCTGCTCTAATTTTTATTTACTTCCTTCTGCTGACTTTGTGCTTTGTTTTTTCTTCTTTTTCTAGTTCTGTTACGTGTAGTTTAAGATTACTTATTTGAGATTTTTCTTGTATGTTGAGGTAGGCTATATTGCTATAAATTTCCCTCTTAGTACTGCTTTTCCCCCATCCCATAAGAGTTGGTATGTTGTGTTTTCATTTGTCTCCAGGTATTTTTTGATTTTTCCTTTGGTTTCTTCATTGATCTAGTGGTTGTTCAGTAGCATGTTTAGTCTCCACATATGTGTGCCTTTCCCAGCCTTTTTCTTGTAGTTGATTTCTAATTTCATAGCATTATGGTTGGAAAAGATGCTTGATATGATTTCAATCTTCTTAAATTTATTGAGGCTTGCCTTGTTCTCCAACATATAGTCTATCTTTGAGAATGTTCCATGTGCACTTGAGAATAATGTGTATTCTGCTATTTTTGAATGGGAATGTTCTATGTATGTATCTGTTAAGTCCATCTGGTCTAGTATTTCATTTAAGGCCACTGTTTCCTTGTTTGCTTTCTGTCTGGATGTTGTATCCATTGATATAAGTGGGGTGTTGAGGGCCCCTACTATGTTTGTGTTGCTGCCAATTTCTCTCTTTAGGTCTGTTAATAGTTGCTTTATATACTTTGGTGCTCCTGTGTTAGGTGCATAGATGTTTATAAGTGTTGTGTGCTCTTGGTGGAATGTTCCTTTTATCATTATATACTGCCCCTCTTTGTCTCTCATTGTCTTTTTTATCTTGAAGTTGGCTTTGTCTGATATAAGTATGGCAACACCTGCTTTCTTTTGCTTGCCATTTGCTTGGAGTATTGTCTTCCATCCCTTCACTCTGTGCCTTCTGTTTGTCTTGAGGGCTGAGATGTGTTTCCTGGAGGCAGCATATTGTGGGTCTTGTTTTTTAATCCATCCAGCCACTCTGTGTCTTTGGATTGGAGAATTCAGTCCATTTACATTTAGAGTGATTATTGATATGTGAGGGCTTAATGCTGCCATTTTATCTCTTGTTTTCCAGTTGTTCTATATTTCCATTGTTTCTTTTCCCTTATATTTCTGACTGCCATTTAAGTTTGGTGGTTTTCTGTGATGGTTTTCTCAGTTTTCTCTTTATTTATGATTTGTGGCTCTGCTCTGATTTTTTGTTTCATGGTTACCATGAGCTTTGTGTAAAAGATCTCATAGATGAGATAGTCCATTTTCAGGTAGCCTCTTATCTACATTAGCTTAAGCAGGTTCCATCTCTTTCCTCTTCACTTTCTGAGGTATTGTTGTCACAAGTTAGCCTTTTTTGTGTTGTGAGTTTGTGACTAAATTGAAGTCTTTATAGTTATTTTTGATGCTTTCCTTCCCTTTATCTTTTATGTTATAATTAAGTGCTTACTAACCTATTCTGATATAGAGCTGCAATTTTCTGATTTCTATTTATCTCCTTGCTCAAGGTTTTGTGAACCTTTGCTTTTTAGTTTCAGATGGGAGGGCTCCTTTCAACATTCCTTTAAGGCAGGCCTAGTGGTGATGAACTCCTTCAGCTTTTGTTTATCTGGGAAAGCTTTTATTTCTCCATCGTGTCTGAAGGATAGTTTGCTGGATAGAGTATTCTTGGCTGAAAGTTTTTGTCTTTCAGTATTTTGAATATATTGTTCCATTCTCTCCTAACCTGTAAGGTTTCTGCTGAGACATCCACTGACAGCCTGATAGGAGTTCCTTTGTGGATTTTCTTCTGCCTTGTTGCCCTTAATATTTTTTCTTTGTCATTGATTTTTGCCAGTTTTACTATTCTGTGCCTCGGAGAAGGTCTTTTTGCATTGATATGATTAGGAGTTCTATTGGCTTCATGTACTTGTAAGTCTAGTTCCTTCCCCAGGTTTGGGAAGTTCTCAGCTAGTATGTCTTTGAACAAGCTCTCTGCTTCTTTCCCCGCCTCTTCTCCCTCTGGATTACCAATAATCCTTATGTTGCTTTTCCTAATAGAGTTGGATATTTCTGGAAGAATTTCTTTGTTTTTTAAAAATCTTAGTTCTCTCTCTTCCTCCACCTGAAGCATTTCTATATTTTTATGCTCTAAATCACTAATCTGTCCTCCATAACATCAGCTCTGTTTTTTTTATGGTTTGTAGATTATTTTTTATCTCATTAATTGTGTTCTCCATCTCCAGAATTTGTTTGTTTGTTTTTTTTTTTTTTAGAGCTTCAGTCTCTTTGGTGAGGTGTTCCTTCTGCTCATTAATTCTATTCCTGAGCTCATTGAACTGTTTGAGTTTCCTTGTAACTTGTTGAGTTTCTTTATGACAACTATTTGGAATTCTCTGTCACTTAGATTGTAAATTTCTGTGATTTCAGGATTGGTTTCTGGAGACTTATCGTTTTCCTTCTCCTCTGAAGTGTTACTGTAGTTTTTCATGGCATTTGATTAATTGATCCTTTGCTGGCCTATTTGTGGTAGTATCAGGTCAGAGATTCCACCTGCCACCGCTGGAGGGGAGCAGGGGCTGTGTTTTCTGATCCCACACTGTCTGCTGGAAGTTGTGCCAGTAGGGCTGCTGTGTGTTTGTGCGGCCTGGCCACAGCTGCTTGGTGGGTCACACACATATGCACAGGGAGGGCCTCTGTGCTCTGCCCACCAGTCTCTCTCATGTGGGCAGAACTGCTGCACTTAGCAGGGGACTGGCCGAGCTGCTGCGCTAGGTGGGAGGGGAGGGGTGCTTTCTTTCCCACGCAGGCTGGCTCTGTGCTCGCAAGCAGCTCAGCTGAGCCTCTGTGCTTGGTGGGCGGGGCTCCCTCGGGGGAGCTTTCCCACAGGTGGGGCCACCACAGCATGGTGGGCACTCCTGCTAGCCAGGCCACTGCTCTAAAAGCATTCAGGCAGGCCAGGCTGCCTCTGCCCCCTCTTACAGTTGTGCCGGCCACTGTGTGAGGATCCGTGACCTGGATCACTGTTATGGGAGGGGGGGTCCACTCACCCAGTTCCACCGCTTCCTGGGGATCCAGTCCACCCGCTTTCAGACATATGGCTGTGTGGCTCTCTCAAATGTCCTCTTGTGCTGTGTAGGGAATCCTCTGTTGGTCAATGGATATCTGTTTGGTTGTAACCTAGAGGGGAGAGACAAAGGAAACAACTCACTCTGCCATGATGCTGACGACACTCCTGGGAATGTGTATTTTTTAAGGCACGTTTGGGGAAATACTCTTTTGAAGAATAGCTAGTATTTCTGAATAGCAAGTTTTAAAATCCTAATGCTGGATATCATATTTAAATTAGTTGAGTTACAGGGAGTTTTTCACACCACTAATGCACTGAACATTGCATTTGAGGTGTTTATACAATAAGTTTGTTTTTTTATTGAATTCTCTATTGTAAAATGATACTAAAAGTATTGGTCTAGATTACAGGTTAGCAAACTTTTTCTGTAAAAGGCAAGATAGTAAATATTTTAGGCTTTGCAGGCCACATACAGTCTCTGGGACACATTCTTTTGTGTGCATGTGTGTTTTAACAACCCTTTAAAAATGTTAAAACCATTTTTAGCTCCTGAGCCATATAAAGACAGATTCAGGCCAAATACGGTTTGCCAACTCCTGGTCTAGATTAAACTATATATGTTTGTTTTTTAATTTATTTTTGTTTTCTTCTTAGCTGAGAGCCTACAGGTTGCAGTGAAGGCCTCACAGATGGGCGATGCATGTCCGTCATCCGAGGAGGGTTGTGGAGAATCTGCCTTGACGGATACGCTCAGTTCTCAGGATGTGCCAGGACTGCCTACTGCTTGTAAGTGAAATGCAGGCCTTTGCAATGAGCCTGAACACAACCCCTGGAGTGTGTAGTGGTTCCACGAGGTGAAGGCAACAACTCTGTCCCTATTTGGAGGAGATTTAATGTCTTTTTTAAAATTAGAAAAAACTTGAGAATAAACATGCTAGCCTACTCTCCATATAATAATGACCCTGGTGTTCCAAGGACGAGGACTTATAGCAGAGTTGGTGGGTTCCACTGCCCAGTTACCCAGGCAAGCTCTGTACCTTCCCAAACCCTACCCTGCCTCATTTTTGATAGGACTTATTGAATATACTTTGGAAAGAACTTCTAAAGTCTTTTGGTGTTTTGATAAAGGCTCCCTGCAGCTCATTAGAGAGCAAGGCCTTCACTTAATCTCATCTCTTAATGTATCAATGGGGGGAAACAACTCAGAGAACCAGAATCTTGTACACACACACACACACACACACACACACACACACACACACACACACGGTTTGGTGGTTAAAGGCAGAAGTGCCAAGAGATTCTTGATCAATGTCGTCATACACATTAGTTCAGGACAGAATTCATTTATTAAAACACTGTTTCAATATGTTTTACATACAGAAAACTAGAATGTAGAGAATTGATTTAGGTAATTTCTCAGAGCCTAATTCTATGGGTATATGTGTAGTTATATGCTAAATATTTAATTCTCTAAAGATTTCTGAGATAAGAGCATAAAGAATACATTTTAAAAAAAGAATATATTTTTCATTATGTCCGAGTGGTAAGAACCTTACTTCCACCAGGTCTTATCTGCACAAGATAAGTGTCTTTAGTAGCTAGAGACTGGAGGATTAACTTGTCTTAGCATTTCTTTAACAACATCCCTTGGTTAATTAAGATATATGGAAGCAGTACAGTTTTAAAATGCTATACATTTTCTTTTTTTTTTTTTTTTTTACCAACACCAATAATTACTTTCCCCTCTCAAGTTCTGCTTTATCTAATCCTGGTTTCTATTTTCAGAATGTGCACATATGCTTTTCATTTCAACACAGCCCAGATTCGTCAGGGGAGTTGTACTGCCCTGGGTGATTTCCTTTTTTAAGAAGAACCTCATTATGCCATTGAGGAAGTTCTGTTTAAAGATACACGTAGGGTCCACTGCTCTCAGCCTCACCCCGGGGACAGCTGGAGGGGCTCCACTCGCTGCTGCAGCTGCTCTGAGCTCATGCTGCACCTTCCCTCCCTCAGACCAGGCGATGGCGGTTCTCCCTGTCTGTGTCCACATCTCCTGTGACTCGGGCGAGTTCCCAGGGGACACCCATGACATCTGCAGAGCCACTGGGAGGCTGTCTACAGTGGCCTGATAGTGGGATTCATGTAGAGGAGGGGCTAGGGCAGGTTGGTGGGGTCCTGTCCCCATTCGGTTCTGGGCTGCATGATGTGGCATGGTGCCACAGGAGTTTGATTCTCTTTATGAAGTTGATGAGGGCACAGTGCTGTTTCTACACGAGGGTCGGTAACTGAAGGTGTCCATTCTGCATTTGACTTTGAGGACTGGGTCTTTCTAAGTCAGACCTGTGTCTGTCTGAGGTTATAGACTAAGCAGGCCCTCTGTTTTAGTCCTCAATAGACCCAATCAGGTGGATGAGTATAACCTACTCCCTATAAAAGTCTGGAGCCCCTCTCGTCCACTCGAAACTTGAATACGGGAATGGAGGGCCCTGATCCACATTCCACTTTTCTGCCTTCATTTGGCTCACCATCAGCTTCTTTCCCCATTTGATGGTCCTCATTTCTATCAGGGAAGAGAGAGAGAGAATGGTTAATTCTTTGGTAATGCCTTTGGCATTTCTCTAAGAGTTAAGAATAGTACCCAGTAGTAGAACCATTTTTTGGGAGACAGAAAAATCTCCATAAAATGTCCCTTCACTATACGTGAGTGGGCATTGACTGGCTTGGGCAAAATGAACTTAATTTTTAGCTGATATAATTTGAAGCAGTTTCTGCTTAAACACTTCTTTGTAATAGAAGGCGGCTTTGGATTCCTAGAGGACTCGCATTTAAAGATGGCACTAGGAAAAAAAATTTATAGACAGTGTCACAAAGTGAGTATCTATTTCATCAGGGTCTGATTGGACATGGTTCCAGTGAAATTCTGTGTGTGAAAGGGCTTTGGAAAGTCTAGTTTTAATCAGTGTAGGTGGGGATAGTATAAATTTTAACTAAGTTCACATGGGTAAAGACAGAAAATCCTGCCAACAGAGGTTTAACGGTTGGAGTGAAATCTGTATTCGGCACTTGAAAATATTTCTGGACTAGAAATATTTCTGTATTTTCATAGGTTAAAAATATAGTGTTTACAGTATTTGTGAATGTAGAACATAAATAAGAATTGTGAGAAAAAACACTTGGAGATTGTTTAAAAAAAGAAAAAGTGATTGGCAACAGGCGGGGTCTCAGTCTTCGTGACTTCGGGATCGTGGAGCGTTAGCTCAGGAGGATGTTGCCCCCTGGCGCCGGACTCCTCCTTCCTCCCGAGCCTGTACGGTCTGCGGCTCTTGCACGGGCCCTGAGGGAGCCTTCCGCAGGCCTGTCTCCTCAGACCTGGGCCTGCCCATGCTGCTTTTTCTGCAGGGCCTGTTCTCCACTGCACCCTCCCCAGGCGCTTTTTTCTATCAACTGAAAGTAGATGTAGAATCACCCTCTCGGTACCACCACCGACACATGAGCACCTCCCCTTGAGCAGAAAGAAAGATAACAGATGGGCGATAACTGATTCCATGGGTCAGTTTGGTACCTGTTAGCGTGGAAGCTCCCTGAGGGCAGGGCCTGCGCGTTGCTCTGCGCTCTTTCAGCACATCATATGAGAGTATTCGATGCGTGTGATTTTGTGATGGTTCTTAATTGGAAATGTGTCAACTGTGTACAAGAGAACCCAGTCCTGGCTGCCCTTTGATGATGTCCTTTTTGTTTCTGTCTCGATGGTGCACTTCCAGCACTAGACGCAGAAGGGGCAGGAGGAAGAGACTGTTGGGACGTGGATCCCGGGATCCAGGGTGTGGGCACCGACGTGGCCGTCTCTGATGCAGGGGAGAAGGTATCGTGAACTGACTTGTTAGTAAATGGCACCGGTCACTTTGTGTAACAAAATAACCCCGGGTCTGGTCTGTCCAGTGAGTGGTATGACAGTGTTTTCCTGAATTGTCCTCTGTTTCAATATTCATATTTAAACTTTTTAACTTATTTCTTCTTTAAATGTTCTTACTCTTCCTATATCGTGTGGGTGTAAAGAAAGAAATAATTGAAAAGTTATTAAAAAGATTTAAAACTCGGACGTTTACTCGTGTGTCTGCACTCTTCCTTCTGCCTGACTTGCACTGTCCGTGCTGCAAACCTCTCGCTTCTCCCCGCGGCGTCTGGCAGCTCTTGGCCGAGAGGGGGTCCTGGGTGTCGGGGCCTCAGGCAACCAGGTGGCGCTAACGTGGCAGAAATCATTTTGACTCTGGAATGTTCTTCTTTCACTTTCTCTTACCTTCCTCTCCTTTTAGATTGCTTTCTGTCACCACTCATATTGTCACTACTTTTTGTGATAGACTTTTAATCAACCTGACCAACTTTTGCTTGGGGCAAAGTTGTTCCAAATGCCTCTTCTTCTTCTTCTTTTTTTTTTTTTTTTGTGAGGAAGACTGGCCCTGAGCTACCATCCTTGCCCATCCTCCTCCACTTTTATGTGGGACGCTGCCACAGCATGGCTCGACAAGTGGTGTGTCGGTGCGCGCACACTTAACCGATACACCAGGGGGCCGGCCCCCTAACTGCCTCTTCTTTTTTGACGTACAATACATGTAGGTTATAACACTGTCTTTTAAAAAATTAAATGTGTGAAAATTCCTATTCAAATGAAGCCAGGATGTCAGAAATAGAGGGAATGAGAATATGTTTCTGGGAGGCGTGAGGGGGCCTCCCTGGGATTGTCTGGGGCTCAAGAGTTTAGCTTCGTCTAAAATTGGAGTAGGCACATTACCAGATGCCAATGTGTGTTAATGTGGAAAAATGACATATGTCAGGTCTTTATATATGTAACATTTTGTGTATTTTTGTATATATTGCATATGACTGAGAAACCAAATCCAAAGGTTTTTTAAAATCCATAGAAAAGATGCCTGTGATTTAATGTTTTTTTTAAACTTCATAGGCCAAAATGAAACTAGGAATGAAATATTTTACTCCACTTATTCTGACTGTAAGCTTTCTAACTTCTTCCTAAAACGTCCCTGCTGCCCATCCTTTTCTGTGCAGACTTCACTTTTAAATCTGTAGCTTTTGTATTATTGGGGGGGGGGGGGTCGATTAGTAACAGTTTCCCGTGGATGGAAGCTGAGGTGGCTCCCACCCCTGAAGGCTTTCCGTCCTGGGACTCAGTCACAGGTAAGTGAGAGTAATTTCCAGGTTCCCCTTCAGATGAGCCCACCTGGAGAACTGTGCCATTAATAAGGCATTTTGAGAAACTGAATGAACCGATGTATAGGGCAAGATCACTTGAAATCAAATTTTAAAAAAGTGTATAATGGATATTTTGTAATTAGCTTAATAAGGTAAGATTTTAAAAAACATTTCTAAAAGAATTAATTTGTAACCGAAATGGCAAAATACCAAGTGTAAATCACCAACTGCAGCTATGCACATTCACCACAAGGTGGCAGACCAACTCCAATAAAAAGATGGCATTAAAAATTCCTTTCTTGCATCTACCCTAGTGGTTCTCAGTAGTAAGTAACCACATGTAGGTAATCCAACTCATTTCCATGTCTCTAATTTTTATAGAATGTAAAAATTCTGTACCATACGATCTTACAAAAGCAGTGGAGTGTTGGAGCAAGGTCAGAACCAGAGAGAGCCCCAAACTGACTGCAGACTGGGAGTCGCAGCCCCATTACCTGCCGGAGGGTCGGGCACAGATCTGACGGCTCTGAACTTCGTCCCCTTTTCCATCCTTGTCCTTCCCCTATTAGAGGTGCTGCTTGGTAGTGAGATCTCTCATTGGCAGGCTGGGGGAGAGCATGGGGAGAGGGGGTGGGAAGAAGAGATGGGACTAGCTCATCATGGTGTCATCAGCCTAAACTAATTGAATTTAACAAGTCCACAGTTACCTGATGACATGACCACAGTTGACTGTTCCTTGTGGTTTCAACTTAAATCTGCTCAGACAAGAGCAAGCCGCGAGGGGAGACTGCAGGTTCTTGGAGGGCAGGGAATCGGATGACCTCCCGTAGTGTAAGATGTGGAGAAGCAGTGGGTGCTCAATATTTGTAGAATGGAGGGTGAATGTCCATTTCATGCCAGGCATCGTTCTTAGGCTCGTGTATAGCATTGAATATGCAGATGAAATCGCACTCATTGGCTTACATCCCAGTGAGAGAAGACAGACGATAAATGAATAGACAAGTGGTCAATTCAATTCTGGAAACTGGAAACCGTCACTATCCACATGTGCCCCTAATGTGTGCAGTAGAGAGACCCCATCCCTCAGGAGCAGACGGTCTCATGGAGCCTCATTCACGGCCTCTGCTGGTAGTGCTTCTACTGGGCAATCACAGACTGGCCCAGTGAACTCGGAGAGATGTGATCTGGAGCAGACCAGCCAAGTGCTCCCCTTTGGGCCGCCTCTGGGTCTAGTTTCTTCTCCCAGCCACTGGCTATTTTGGCTTTGTGAATCTCAAACATTGAGAGAGAGAGCTCAGGGCCAGGTATGATGTTTTCTAGCTTCCAAATCTGCCCTCCAGGATGCAAGGAGCCAGTCTGGCCTGAGAGACAACTTCAGCCTGGGCACAGAGAGCTCAGTTTACACTGTGGTTTGCACAAGGTGAATACATCACGTATGGAGAGGGCGGGCACTTCTTCACCCTCATCGCTTGTTGTTTAAGGGATGGTTGGGTGAAATTTACCGTGCGTCTCAAAGACCGAGTTTGCAAAAGGGTCTCTTGTCAAGTGGTTGTTTAATTCTGTAGGCTTTGATTTCTGGGAGGAAACAGTCACTATAGAAGAGTTTAGAGAGAGTGAAGTGTTTTACTGGAGGTCATACGTTTTGGAACACTACAGTGTAGCTTTTTGAAAGAAGAGTGATTCTTCATTTTCTTATGTTTTTATGTATTCTAGGTGGAATATAGAAACTTCCCAGGTTCTTCACACTCAGAGGTGAGCTATGCACACCTTAAATATATCACCATCCTCTCTTTATTTGTGGATAAGGAATGCTTTTTCAAGAATTTGACACTTAGGATCTTATTTTTCAGATTATACAAGCGATACAGAATTTAACCCGTCTTTTATATAGCCTTCAGGTAACTATGCTCCTCTAATTTTTGACCTTGCGAATGTTTCTCTTAATGCAATTCACTTTATTTGATGATTCCCAGACCTTAAAAATTAGAGCATTTGAGAGGTAGTGAATGATCTTAAAAGAATGCCAGCCCCCAAGTGTCGCTCAACTAGATGTGTTGAACTTCGCCTGCTTTTGTGATCACAGAGCAACACCACTACATTTTATACTGTTCTTCTCTGAAACCATAAAACACTTCATATCTTTAAAAAATATTGATGAATATGATCTGGCTTGAAGTTTACAATGAAACTCTTAGGTGAGTGTAGCATGACTTCACATTTTCTGGTGAAAACTCAAATTCACACCTAAACTTTTTTCATTTCCACATGTGGCCTCAGGCCTTTGGATCCCTTAAACAGTTCATATGCTCCTTCATTTCTGGGTTTGTTCATCCACCCGACATTTTTGGTGTGCCGTCTCTGTGCGGGGCGCTGTGCTGAGGGCTGAGCACAGACGGAAATGGGCCAGAAAGCCCACGTCAGGTGGCTCACTGTCTTCCAATGAAGGACGGGCAGGAATCGTGCTTGTGTGTAGGATTATAGGGTTGGATGAACCCCTAGGCCATGCAGAAGAAAGGCCGAATACATCCAGTTGCTGAATTTATAGATTAAAAATATTTTAAAATGATGTAAAAGCAATGTTTATATTGTAAACAAACTTGTAGAAAAACTTGAGTATACAAGTAAATAAAATAAAACGATTTGTGATTCTACAGAGAGAATTACTATTGTTGTGTTGGAGTATATCCCTCCAGTTTTTAGAATCAGTTTACATATACTCTTGCAACATGTGCCTTTCTATGTCACAAGCAATTATCACATAGCACAATTTTTAGTGGTTGTATAATCTTCACGTCTCTGGAATTTATCCAGTTTCTCATCATTTATACCTTTGTGTCAATATTCTAGTAGATATCCTTGTACACTATAAACACACCTGAGTGTTTCCTTAGCATGAATTACCAGAATTATTTTTTTAGGTTTTTAATAGACATTGCCAAAATAAATCAACATCCCTCGCTACTTGTCCTTAATTTGAAAATGGATCAAGGTATCTGATTATCTTAATTTGCATTTTTTGGATTACTATTGAGATTAAACTTGCTTTTCCTATTGGCTTATTAGCCATTCATATTTCATATCTTATACCTGTTGAATATTAAAAGGAAATAAAATTGACTTTACATTTTCACTGTAAAAAATGTAAAGTCATACTACATTTGATGTTTTCTTGTTTATACCTCGACTGCATCAAGACTTCTTTCTCTTAAGTTCTATTGAGTTAAGTTCTATCTGCTTATTCTTGCTCTAGTACCATTATCTTAATTATTAAAGTTTTGGATTACATTTGTTTTGTTTTGTTTTTTGAGAAAGATCAGCCCTGAGCTAACATCCCTGCTAATCCTCCTCTTTTTGCTGAGGAAGACCAGCTCTGAGCTAACATCTATTGCCAATCTTCCCCCTTTTTTTTCCCTTTTTCTCACCAAAGCCCCAGTAGATAGTTGAATGTCATAGCTGCACATCCTTCTAGTTGCTGTATGTGGGATGCGGCCTCAGCATGGCTGGAGAAGCGGTGCGTTGGTGCGCGCCTGGTATCTGAACCCGGGCTGCCAGTAGCAGAGGGCGCGCACTTAACTGCTAAGCCACGGAGCCGGCCCCTTGGATTACATTTGAATGTATGACAGTGCTAGTCTCCTCTTATTTTTCTATGCTTATCTATATATTCTTTCATAAGAACTTTTGAATCACTCTGACAAGTTTCTTCTACCAAGACCTTTAAAATGTCATCATATTTATAGGTAAATTGGGGAGAATTGGCATTTTTGCAATAATTAGTCCTCTTGTCTGAGAACATGTTGTTAGTTGTCTCTTATGTTCTGCTGGAAAGCTTTGTAATTGTCTTCACATAGGTACCGTATATATATGTATTTTTTTTTTGACTGAGTTTATAGATATTTGTGTCTTTGTTCCTATTGTGAATGGAATTTTTTTCATTATGTTTTTCCAATTGTGGTCGCTGATATAAATAAAGGTATTAATTTTTATATATTTATTTTATAACTGGCCAACTCATTGAATTTTATTTTTTGTTTTAATAGTTTTTCTGTTGATTCTTTGGAATATTTCATGTAGAAAGTAAAAATTTGAAAATAATGGTATTATGGCTATTCTTCAAGAATTATATCAATTTCATTTTCTTGGCTCGCTGCTTTGGCTAGAACTCCTGAAACTGTGTTAAATAGTAGTGATGATAGTAAGCAGTCTTGTCTTCAGGATTTAGTGGGAATGCTTACGTTAGATATGCTGGTCTGGGCTCGATGTTCTTAGAGATGGATTTATCAGGTGAAACAAATAGTCTTTCTTTTTCTAAGAAAGAGAAGGGGTGAAGTTTGAGTATAATTCATTAACTTTTGGGAGATGAAAGCATTGAGAACCCTGGCTTGCGCTGTCTGATGAAAACACTCACAAGGTCACGTCTCTCCTTTTCGACCTTGACCGCAGCCCTATGTGGAGTCAAGGTTCAGAAAAGCTGGTGACCTAAGTGACTTAATTTTTGCAACACATTAGGTTGAAGCAACACAGGAAATATCAAATTCTACAGTGGATTCTCTTAAGCAAAGCTCTTCAGCTGGTCTAAGGATAGGGGCTCTGGAAGATTTCTGTTCATGGCACAATTGTCTCTTTTGAAGCTGAATCTCTCGTGCATGATTGAAGTTTTTATGTAAGCATTTTTGAATCAGATGGAAATGAAATTTGATCCCTATATTAAGAGAGTGGATTTAGAGTTGAGGTATAGTCAAGGCAGAAAGGGAAGGACAGAGAATTATTCCAGCAAAGAAAAGTTAAGAGAGAGTGAATTGGAAATTTCCCTAAACTTGAAAAGCAAGTGCTGTTCCCATCCTAAATATAAATGTGAACTTTAAGTGTGAAAATGAATATCCAGTCTTCAGATTCCACCTCTATGTTGCAGAAGAGATGCTCTTATCCCAAATGTTGAGTAGATATGAAGAATACTTCATGGTAGCACTTAATTAGGGTAATTGTAACCCTTACATGACAGTTATCATTGCCTAACGTAGTTTTGACGTATATAATATTGGATTTTTGTTTGTTTTACTACAGTGATGCCCTTAAGATTTGTTAGAATTAAATGGTGATGTACAGTCCACAATTTGCTCTAGCCAGGTCCTCAGGGTCCTGACTGGCTTGTTATTGCATATTTAAAGATCAAAGTAATTAGTACCTATTCTCAATGATAATCATTGTTCTCTTTACAATAACTTCTAAAAGATATTAATCAAATATTCATGTGAATTTGAAATTTTTAAAATTTTCAAATTTAAGAACATTAATTTTATTTCAAAAGACCCCAGTGAATACATTTTTGAGTCTTATTCTAAAACAAGTACCAATTTAAAATATACCTTAGTTCTTGAACCTTCAAAAGTCTAGGAAACTGCTGATCCAACAAAAGACTAATGGTTAAATCCCCATCTTCTCAGCATCTATTACACAGACAGTTTTAAAAATTCTTAGGAAAGAAAAATGTGAATTTGTCCCTAGGAGAGTAATAATTTCTCATAACCAGTCAAAACACACACACATACCCAGTATGCGGCCATTTTCAATTTGTCCCTTCTGTGCCGCTTTGTGCTTTAAATGGGAACTTTCAAAATTAAAAGCTTCCAAGGGCATTCACAGAGATTTTTTTTGGTTTTGTGGACTCCTTCCAAATCGTGCAAATTATTTCCTGTGATGCTGCCAAACTTTTCATAGGCAGATACTGTAACTCAAAAAGTTTTTTTAATCTGGTTGGTAATGTCCTCTGGGCTTTAGAAGTATCTATGTTCCCTTAATCATTCCAGCCTCCTGTTAGCAATCTATTAAAGAAATGAATTTCAGCTTAGTGTTTTATGCATGACCTTCCTGCTATAATACAAGAAATAACAGTAATGAGACTGGCTTTACCACTTACATATCTCCTAAATATGATATTAACTGCGGTTCTTGGGTATTATGCTATAAAAAGATTATTTACCAGAAGTCTCCAAGTGGTTGACTTTTATTTTTATGTCTTCATGTACATGTACTTTAAGTAATTTCTAGTTTGGGACTCAAGTAAAGGATACTACTAGGTTTATATAGATTGTTAAATTCTCGTGAACTGAGTGGAGAGACCTCAGAAAGAGAATGAGACGTGAATTTGTGTTCTGAAATATTATTCAAAAGACTTGCTTAAATTTTATCCAACAAGCAGCAACAAAACACATTTCCAAAAGAGGGGATGAATATTGCTTTTGTGATGGCTTTCTTTTGTGGATAAATTCCCAGGTCATTCCCAGGTCATAAATTCCAGGTCATACCAGGAAATGTAGACAAGTCTATTTGAAGTGCCAAGGTCGGTCTTAGTAGGTAACTTACAAAAAGGACAGAAATATTTAGAGAAAATAATTTGGTCATGCTTTTTGTATTTGGAGGTGGTTCTAACCCAAAGCGCAAAGCGTGTGGAAGCCTTTACTTCTTTCCTCTCTGCCCTGACAGGCCGCCCTGACCATCCAGGACAGTCACATTGAGATCCACAAGCTGGTTCTCCAGCAGCAGGAGAGCCTGTCCCCCAGCCCCTCTTTCCAAGGCAGCCCCTTGCAGGACCAGGAGAAGCACCGCAGCTTGGAGAAGCCGCGTGAGGAGCTGGCCGACGTCCCCCAGCTCCAGCATCAGCTGCAGCAGGACCAGCGGCGCTGGCGTCGCGCGTGCGACCAGCAGCAGAGGGAGCAGGAGGCCAAGGCGTGCCGGCTGCAGGAGCGCGAGAGGGAGTGCCGGTCGCGGGAGGAGCTGCTGCTGCGGGGCCGCGGGGAGCTGGACCGGCAGCTCCGGGAGTACCGGCAGAGCCTGGAGCGGCTGCGGGCCGGCCAGCGCCTGGTGGAGCGGGAGCGGGAGCGGCTGCGGGCGCAGCGGAGCCTGCTGTGCGGCTGGCGGCGCGGCCGGCAGCGGAGCCTCCCCGCGGCGCTCGCTCCGGGGAGCGCGGAGGTACGGGTCCTCCGCGCCGGGGGAGGCGGGCGCGAGGCGGCGTCCCCAGGACGGGCCAGTCGCGGTCGGCCCGGCCTGCCTCTCTGCTTGTGTGAAAGCGCGCAAGAGTTTCCCGGCACGTAGGTGGCAGACGCTGGGGGCCCTCAGAGACGATGCACGTGCATCTTGACGGGTAATGCGGACATTTGAAAGGCCTAGGTCCTGTCGTGTCATGGGCCCGTGGGAATCCGAGACGCCTTTACCCCAGGGAAGAAACAGAATTGGGTTGTCCCGTAAGGCGAGGTCTGTCCTGGAGGCACACTCAGCGGTGAGCGTGCTGCCCTCCCTGGAGCTGAGGGGCCTCTTTATCCAGTCTTCAGTTCCCTATGGATATACCTTTTAGTAGATCAGTGAGCCATTAATGTACATTACAGGTGCTGGATTTAGCAAGTATAGTACTACTGTTATTCCAAGCTTATTCTTTTATTGTAAGTTTGACATAAATTCAAAATCCATTTCGCTAGTAATAGTTAACATGAATATACTAATGAATGACTGGGCAGGATAAAACCTTTTGGAAGATTCTGTGTTCCATTTGCACTCTCTCTAACCATCCTCAACAATTCCATTGATGCCAGGAGTTTACTTTTCTGTGCTATGTGCACATACATGCTTTTTATTGATTGTGTATAAGGCTGTAAAACCTGATAAGCTTATACGAAAGATCTGTATTGTGTCTGATTTTCCTTTCAAGTTGGCTAAATTACATTTATTGCAAATACTTCAGGTATACATGAATATTTGCAACTTTTTTATTTAGCAAAAGTGAAGATGCTGCTCTCTCAAAGTGGAAACACTTTAATGGCAGAGAACACTACTGCTTGTGTTTTTGTTTTGTTTGAAGATATGCTGTGCATAGCGAATTGACATTTTTGGTACTAGCTCATTAAGAGGGGTTGGGAGGAGGGAGGCAAGCTGATGTTCTTCTTGACCTCACTCTTCTGAAAATTTTTATTGCTAAATTCTATTAGAAATAAATACTTGATGAAACTTGCACAAATTGCTGGAGAAGTTATTGTATTTTTTCTGTATTTTCTTACACAGGTAATGGAATTCAATCAATCTGAGAGCTTATGTCATGAAAATTCATTCTTCATCAATGAAGCTTTAGTACAAATGTCACTTAACAATTTCAACAAACCGACTCCATCAGGTATCCATTGGGATGCCACCTACCCCCCAAATATATCTAACTCAGATTCGGTAAGGACTAGAGAGAACCAAGTAGACCTCAAGACGGCCATTTCTCAGTCCTCGGATGTCAACCACGAACTGTGGATAGCCGCTGTGTCCTCTCATCAGATGCCACCTCTCCACCAAAGCAGCAAGGATTCTTGTAAAAATGGTAATTAATACTTTAAACCTCATCTGTATAGTTTCAACAAGAAGCTGTGTCTCTGAATGGTTGGCTCTTCTTTAGAGTGAATCCAAGTGGGCCCTAGAATGGGAATAAATTGCTGATGTGCTGAAGTTTGTGGCATAAACTTTTCTTTGGGGCAGTCGGGGGTCATCACCTGTGAGTATCTAGGCAAGCTAGACCGTGGTCGGAGGGCTTAGAGGATGCTGCCAAGATGTAAGAACCAGACAGGGCTTTCAGGTCTGTGGGTTAAATGATAACTTTCCCTTAAAAGTGGAGCAACTTGATATGTATTCTTCAGTGTCGACCCTCCCACATCCGGATACACATTCTCGTCGACTCTCAGGAATAAGAGATGTGGGTAGGGTTTGTGGCCGACTTTATTGTCCATCATGGTGATTTCCTGTAACGCTAGTGAAACCTTCTGTACTGCTGTTAAACACCCCAAATGAAACTGTTAACATCATTTGTCATTGTAGAAAAGGTGTTGTGTCTCCGTAAGTACCTCATAATAACACAATTTGCTAATCCCATTAAAGCATTTGCCAAATATAAATGAAAGGCAGCTCGAGTTACCAGCTCCACATGAATCCAAATGATTGAAATCTACGTCTATTATAAATTGTTTTCTGTGGGATATGAGGTAGGGAATGGGAAGAACTTGAAACCTCTCTACTGAAAAACAGATGGCATGCAATAGAATAAACAAATGGCTGGCCACATGGATGGGAAATAAATCACCAACAGCACAGCATTTCAGAAACGTAAAATAAGCGGTAACGTAGAGATCTTCAGAACTGGACACGGATTTGTTTCCATGCTTGATATACATTCTTGGTTTGTCTGTAGGATAATTTTTCAGCAGTGAAACGTTTTGAAGGTATTCAGCTTCTCCAAGTTAGAGAGTGATAATTCTGACAGTGCCTGAAAGTTGATTTATTACTCACCCAGAAGATGTCGATTCTTAGTAGTGGATAATTCTTTACATTTTTTAGTCACTGCTGTAACATTCCTATTTCTTGTCAGTATGTAGAAGAGAATGAAATAGTTCTCTAAAGTATCATTTCAAATATTCTTTAAATAGAAAAGAAAAAATACAGTGGAATAATTCATTGGGATTAAAAAAATAGGCAATATTTAGAAAATGTAACCCCTCTAATATATTATCTTCTAACTTTAGTGCTATGGAGACCCCATTGCAGAATGCAGAATGCTTTTTCTAGGTACATGTTGCTTTGCTATGTTGATTCATTAAGTTGCTGTTTACAGCACTTTATATGTTTTTGTCAGTGTGGTTTTGCACACTGGCTTTGGTATCATTCAAAAACTCAGTTTGAGTTAAACCATATTCAGCTTTTGTTTAAAAGCAGTATTTCTCTCTTACTTTTTGTATATCTCCCATCTTTTTCTATTGACTTGTACTTCAAAGTGGAAAGCTTTTAAACGTTTGGCAGCACACTTGCAGGAGGTAGAAAATGTACTGAGGAAATAAACAGTGATTTAGATACAACCAGTCTCTCCACGTGTAAGGCATTAGGGATGGCCAAGGGAGATGCTGAGGAGATGTATTTACGCTTCAGGTATTGTGTGTCCAGGACACCCGGGACTTGGGCAGAAGAGAGGAGAATCAACCTTGGCCTGAATCTCTCAGGAGCATCCTGGTGTATGCAAGGGGGATAAGATCAGAAATGCACGGTGCGCTGTTGAGCACTGGAGTTTTGCAACTAGTCAAAAGACCCTATTTATGTTTGTTTACTTAAGCATGATAAGCAGTTTCTGGAGGAGAGAAAAGAAAGAGATTGGGATGGTAGGGAAGTAGGATGAAAATTGGAAATATATTCTTGAGTGTTGTCAGGGCCTGATAAAGCTGTTCGAACCACTCGGGAGCTTTCACAGCTCTTGTAATTGATAGTAGCACAAAGTAAGCCGCTGATGGTGGGCTTCGCTAGACTGCCTGTGCTCCCCACCCTTGCTCTGGGGGGCTGGGCTGGGAGAAGCAGGCCCAGGCTGTGCAGGTGGAGAGGAAGGCAGTGCAGCGTCCGGGTCCCCTGCTTTCACATTTTGCTGCTGAATCTTTGGGTTAGTGGTCATCAGTGACCACTGCTGAGGACCCATGGCTCACAATATTTTGGCTAACAAAATTGCCTCTAATGTTCTCGGCTGGTGTTTTTATTAAATGTGCATTTAACCATGTTTGATTAATGCTGTGCTGAAGATCTCATCTTTAGGGCCTAAGGTCAGCTGTTTTAGGCAACTCCTTAAAGAAGTGTTTGCTCTTTTGTCTGGTCCGGTACCAGGTGCATATGACCAGCTCAGATCAGTGGAAATGTGAATTTCTGAAGCAGTAAGCCTGATGGAAAAAAATTGTATGTAAATAAAATTGTTGAATGTGCTTAGGTGTCGCCTAGATTGGAATCTTCATTGGTTTGTTCAATCCAGCTTCACCAGACCCTGTATTCTGCTCTGGTTGTAATTGGGTTTTGAATTACCCTACCACCACTGCTGCCACCAGCAGTTTTATGACACCAAATTTCAAGTACTGTGCTAAGGTTTTACATGGAGAAACTCATTTAATACAACAATCCACTCAGGTGGTTCTGTTCTTATCTCCATTTGAAAAGGGAAACTGATGTCCAGAGAGGTTTAGTGACTGGTCCAAGGTCACACAGCTAGTAAACAGCAGAGCCAGAGATGGGACCGGGAAAGGCTGGCTCGGGAGCCCATGCTCTTCACCATTACACATACAGTGTTGATTTCCAGAGAGCTGTTTGAATTGTACTTTTTAAAGACATTGAAGTAGAAATAGGATAAATCCTGTTGTAATGCCTGGCAGGACGTACACAATTAAGGGCCAGTTTTCTGTTATTGTTGTTGTTGTTTATTCCCCTCCCTCCCTCCCTTTTTAATATCACCCCTGGGAAATATTTCCAAATCTTTTGGATTGCCATGGCCGATGCTTGCACGGGTTCCGAGCATCTTCAGATATCATAAATACCTATTAGCTTCACTTTTTTCCCGTAAGACACATTTTCTTACGGATAGCTTGTTTCTCTACTGTTCCCTAATAGCAGCCTCATGTTATTGGAAATATTTTTCAGGTCGCACTTTAAAGAACTTTACTCTCCAGTGTTGGAAGTTGTTTCATGAACAAAATTCTTGGATATTTGAACATTAAATCTAAATTGGTATGTGATTTTATTTGTAGTGGAAGAGATGGTTGGTTTAAGAACCCTGTCTGTGCTCCTCTGAGGGACACTAGCCAAGACTACAGAAAATTTGAATTTCTTTAAACAATATAGTCCCTGCAGGACAATTGCTATGTAGTTGGCCTCATGAAGTGCTCAACTGCATTACTCTTCTTAAAGGCAGAACAAACAAAAAGCGCTTTATTCCTGTGACTTTTTTTTTTTCTCCTAGCTTTAGAATTCTAGAACTGTTTATTCAATGTGTCTATTAGTTTATGATATTTGCCTTTTTCATTTATCAATAGAGAAAACACTTTATGATATGAAAATTAGTCTGAGATCTTCTTTGTCTCCCTTCTCTGTTATATTTTATCTGGACCTCAATATTTGCAGGTTACCTAAAAAGTTCCTCTTCACTGTAGTTAAAGCATTCTGGTTTTGCTGTGCATTTGATAAAATTTAAATCAAGAGCCAAATTTTATGTGTTAGTCATGTAGATATTGAAAAAAGAATAATAACCTTATTAAGTTTGGATTCCAAAAGTGTGTTTCCCTTTACTACATATTAGAATTTGGTGCCCATCAAAATATTTTCAAAATTCCAAGCGTTGTATTCAGAATATTTCATCTCGGCAATGTTTTTTTTAAAAAAACAGACAGCTGTGTTAAACTTTCAATGACATGTTTTTTACGTATGGAAAGAAAATAGAAAAATTTCACATAAAAAGCCGTGCTGCAATTAGTATTTAAGTAACAGTCTTTAAGAAGTGAGTATGTGATAACTTCTAATGGTTTAAAAATATTCCGTAAGTCAGAAGTGGGCGCCTCATTTGCATGATCTATGTGGAAAAAACTGAAACTGGCATTAGATACTATAAACTTCAATGACAAAGGTGTATTTTTGACAAGGAGGATGTATTAGTTTGCTAGGGCTGCCATCATGAAGCACCACAGACTGGGTAACTTAAACCACAGAAATTTATTTCCTCACAGTTTGGGAGACTGGAAGTCCCAGGTGGAGGTGTTGTCAGGGTTGGTTTTTCTGAGGGCCTCTGTCCTTGGCTTGTAGAGGGTCATCTTCTCCCTGTGTCTTCACGTGGTCTTCCCCGTGCATGTCTGTATCCTAATTTCATCTTATAAGGACACCAGTCGTATTGGATTAGGACTCTCCTAATGACTCACTCAATTAACTCTTTGAAGGTTCTATCTCCAAATATATTTTGAGGTAATGGGGGTTAGGGCTTTAATATATGAATTTGGGGGAAACACAGTTCAGCCCTTAACACAGGATAAAAATGATTATTTTTCTCATTGCAATATTTTTAGGTGTCATGAAACCTGTAATTTTTTTTAATGTACCAAAGTTGAACTTTAATTTAACTACACTGTGAGCTTCTTTTACTTGATTAGTGAATTGAACTTTGTTAAAAAAAATTTCATAACAATAAAATTGTGATAAATATGTGTATATATTTATAGATATAGGAATATGTTCTCAAGCCTATGTCAACACATAGAAATCAGGGCAGAAAGTATTGAGTCTGCAGATTCATTAGACCTTATTTTTAAGACTAGGCCTTAAGTAAAGAGCTTTGGGAATTCTGCCTCTCTATGCTTGGGAGGGATATCAGATGCCTTCATTCTCGATTGATAAATGAAACCAAAGCTGAAGGGTTGACCACGTTCATTATAATAAGAAATTATTATCCAGATGTATCTATGGGAGTTTGAAGAGGTCAAAATTGGGAAATCATCGGGCAACCCTTTATCTTTCTTCTAAAATCTTGATTATCACTTAGGGTAA